ATCCAAGGAGCAAAACCTCAGGACAGAGGATGGGGCTGGGCATGGCCAAACCTGAGGGGATTGAGATGCCACCAGGAGTTATTTTTGGGAAGGAGGGCTTTTACTAAGACACAGCACCAAAAGACAGGACTCTCCACTTCTATTTCCAGCTCTTCTAGTGACAGAATTTGCCTTGGGAGATGATTTTGGCTGAGACCAAGGGATGTGGGAACCCAGAGTGAGATATTTAGGCTTCTATTCAGCCTTAGAGATGAGCAGCCAGGTTGCAAGTCACAGCAGGATTGCTTACATGAATAAAGATGATGGATGCTCCTGGCTAAGGGTAGGTGCCATACAACTAAGTCTTTATCTCTGGAACAGTCATGGCTTTCTCAGTGTTTTGCTTCTGACTCAGTGGAGGTTTAAATTCAGCTGCAAATACTCTCATTCTGATTTCGAGACTCTCTGAGCACTAAAAGGCATTTGCCAATCTCTGTTTCTCTTTGCTGTGGATGCTCTTTCACCTTCACTTACTGTCATTTCTGTATTTTCCTGGCCTTTGATTTACATCAAAGTTTTAGGTACTTGAACTGCAGCGTTTTACAGAGCCCACAGAAATCCCAGGATTTATTGGGATTGCGGTTGGATTGCACATAAGCACGTCAGTTTTATTTTAGCACAATTATCAATGCCCTGTTTACATCCCCAAAGTAATTTTCAAGTGTTTTAAATGTTTTAAGTTGCTTTTCATTGTGCAGCTCTTGAATGCTTGTAGTGGAATACTCTTCCTTTCCAGCTTTGCCCCTTCTAATTAAGCAAATTATTCATGGCCTTTCTCAATTCCAGGGAAAGCCATCAAAGTGGGCAACAAGCACGGTGGTTTATTACAAGCTTCTGTCACCTCCTTGTGTTGTATCCATCTCCATCACATCCAGGAATCCAATTGCTAATTAGTGGTGCTCCATCAGAGGAGCCCCAATGTTTCTGAATGTCGTTGAATGTTCTTTGAATATGAGTATTTCAGGAATAAATATAGAGGCCTTTTAAAATTCTTATGTAAATGGGCATGTAGATTCCAAGGGGGTTTCTTTTGGAAGGCAAATTAGATGATTAACCTGAGAAGCTTTAGGATGATTCCATCATGTGCTTTCACTGAGGAAGGAAAAAAAAAAGAGAAAAGGACAGTCTTTCGTGTTTCATGCCATTTTAAGTATTTTTATTTCCAAGGGGGAGTTCAGCCATTCCTTTTTCTGTTGCTAACCTGAAGCACGGTGGATATGAAATCTGGATATGCAGATTTTGTGCTGGGATTTAAAAATTGTAATAAGAAGCTTGCATGGGTGTTTTAAGTCAACATAACCTTTGAATGTAAAGTCAGACTTTGGAGGTCTTTGGATTTCCTGGTATTAGCAGCAGTCAGATTTGCACAGCTGAGTCTTGGTTGAGCTTAAAGGTCTCAGCAACAGGTGTGGGGATGCCAGAGCAGCAGAAGGTGCTGGGGGCCTGCAGGAATGGGTGGTGGGTGAGAAAATGCAGTGAGGTGACCTTCTCCAGCAGGCTGGAGACAGATTTCTCCTTCCTGTCACTGTGGAGAGGAGACAGTGCTCCCAAACCACCCTGAATCCTGCCCGGAGTTTTGGGGATGCTGGATGCTGACTCCAGCCGTGCATCAGGCAGGACCTGTGTGCTCAGGAGGAGGATATTGTCTTCTCCAATGTTTCAAGCAGAATTGGCATCATTAATGTAAAAATCATTAGATGGGACCTAATTAATGTTCCTTATTGCACATTAACATTTCCCAGAGTCAGGCTGCAGACGTAATTTGCTTTCATTAGATATGTAGCTTTAAAAATTAGATTCATCCCAACTGCTACACTATTTATTGGCTTGTTTCCCTTCCCTTACCTATCCATTATTATCTGAAGCCCTTTCCTGATCTGTCTGGGTAGATTAGGTGGAATTAAAGCAGAGTCCAGCTTCCTGTTCCCCACTGCCCTCCCTCTGTGACAGCTCAGAGGATACATGCCCTGATGTGCACGTACCTCTCAGCTTCCCTCTTCCACTCCTCTGTCCAGAGGGCATCTGCAGATCCCTCAAAGCCTCCCAGGAGCCAGACAGACCTCAAGCCCCCAAATGCAGTTTCCTTGCAGAAAGGTGTCGTTCTCTGAGTCTCCTTTTGCAGCCCCCAGAGGTTGGTGGGCCCCACAGTCAGGCAGAGAAGCTGTGGGATGTATGTGCAGCTATTTTGGGAGCTATTTTGGGATGTGTGTGCAGCTCATCCTGTGCTGATCCAGAGCCTGCATCCCTTGCTGGCAGTGCTGCTCCTTACCTGGTGGCTGGGAGATTCCTTACCTGTTGGGACTGAGCCAGGGGGAGGTTTTGTCCCTGTGGGATTTGGCCATGGATCTCCCACGCTCTGCTGGAGAAGCTGGTGCATTCCCTGCTGCCTCCTGTGCTCGGCAGAGCTGTAATTAATGCTGGCCCTGCCAGCCTGATCTGCATCAGATCTCCCTGGCAATGGAAGCCCTGGGGAGCCCAGAGTGGAAATTGCAGCAGCTCAGAGCTGGCCCTGGGGAGCTGAGGAGCAGGGAGAGGCCGGGATGAGGCTGCAGGGATGAAGGGAAGGGGGAGAAGCAGCACCCAGGTGTCCAACTGCTCCAGTAGCACCTGGAGCTGCCCCAGCTCCCCCCATAACCACGGCTTGCACAGCCCATCCTTGACATTTGAAGTGATAGAGCAATTTCTATTAATTTTTTTTTCCCCACTGTCCCATCAATATCTATCTAGTGACAACTTAACATACAGGAATCCTTTTTGTGGTGTGTGTCCCTGCCGGGATTCATGAATTGATAGTGGCTTCATTCTGGATCAATCCAAGGTGATCAACTGAGCAAACACAGCGTGCAAGCCTGCTCTGATTTTGGCATTTTGCTTTCAGCCCTTCCTCAGGCACTTTACAGTGATGTTTGGTCACAAAAATAAATGCAACTCATATTCTATTTCTTTAATCTGAAAATGTAGAATTCTCTTTTCCCTTGATCCATTTCCATTATAATTTTTTTTTTAGTTTATTTTTTTTCTCTTTCTTCTCTCATTGATTATTCATTTGTTTCTCACTTCAGAATAGAAGTTTGCAGCAAAATCTGGGCCATTCCAGGAGTGCAGCAGCCTAGTTGCAGCTCCTTCCCTCCTGGAGCGTGGGTTCTGCTCCCCCTGCCACGTTGTGGGCAGCAGTGGGGTCCCTCCTGCAGCTCCCAGGGCATGGCCCCAGCAATCTGGAGGATGTTGGGATGGATGGAGTCCATCTGACTGCAGGGCAGGTTGTGGTGGGATTGTTTATGGCAAAGATCTTAAAAGGCCAGCTTGGGGAGAAAAGATACTGAAGTGAGACCTAGGCAAGACATTGAGTGGCATCAGGAGTGGGATTGCAAATGAGGTTTTCCTACTCTCCTGAGGTTGTTTCAAGTGTCTGCACACCAAATCCGGTGTGAGAAGGAGAAATTTGCAGTGAGAAATCAGGCAATTATCTGCTTGATGCTGGATTCATCTTGTGGCTGATAAAGCTCAGCCTTGGCTGAGATGGCTCTGAAAATCCCTTACCTTCAGCAGTCCCTACCTCATCACCACATTTCAGCCTGTGGTTTGAATAAATACTGAAAATCTCTCTGTTTTTACTTGTTACTGTGACATTAATGGTCACTGCAAAGCCACAAGCACGACCTGGTGGTGTGAAACTCCTTTTCTTTATTCACCAAAAAGCATCAGCCCCCACCAGCAGAACCAAACCTTATAAATATTCACAATGCAGTTTGTAGGAATGTGAGACAAAGTCAGACAGATGAATTATTTAATGCTCTTAAAGAATGCAGCTTTTAGTTTCTCCTTGCGCTGGCCTACTTTATTGTATTAGTAAATCGATCCTGAGTAAATTAATTTCCCTGCTTTTGTTGGAGCAAGCAGCGGGCAGGGGTGGGAGCCTCCATCCCTGAGCAGATGCCAGCACACCTCGGCAGCTGCAGATTCAGGCGCTGAGTGTCAGAGAGAGCCGAGCTCCTGTCACTCATCCTGTGCCCTTTGATTTGCATCAGAACATCCAGCACTGGGCAGCCTTGATGGGGACAGGCAGTGAGTGACAGGCTGGGGTGGCACTGCCCAGGCTGCTTTTGGGAGGCTGCCCGTGGATGTAGATGTCAATGAGAGCTGGATGCATGCTGGGGTTTGAGCATCTCCTCGATTTTGTGGTAACTGAGAGAGCTGATATCAAGGTTGTATCCCTGCAGTTTGTGGCAGGATGAGGCTTCTTTTGTCCCTGAAGAGCTGGGACAGAGCCCAGCCCAGCTCCTTCCCCAGTGCCAACAGCACCAAAATCACATTCCCTTGAGCTGGACAAAACCCCTTTTCTGTCCCATGTGTGGCCACAGAAGAGCAGAGGAACAACCACCCATCTCCCAGTGATGCCCCAACAAACCCGAAAAGTCACCAGGCTTTCCAGACAGCAGAGAGTTAATGTGGAGTACCTGCCTGAGAAAGGAGCATTAAATCCACCCAAAAATGTCCTACTCTGGCAAGAATTGCAGCACCACTTCTGTGTGAGCTTCTGTGGATGTCAGTGATTAAGTGGAGCTCATGCTCAGCCCATGCTCCTGCTCCTCAGCCAGTCTGCTCCCCTCTTATCCCAGTTAGAAATGTCCCTGCTTATTTGGATGCTTTTGGACGTGTGTTTCTGAAAGAGCTGACACGTCCTTGGGGGAAAAAATGTCAGAAGTGATTAGAGCTGCCAGCTGGAAGGGGAGCTGGATTGGCACTGGCCAAACTGGGGGTAGTCCAATGTGTCCATCCACACATAACCTTCCAGTTAGCAAAACTGGGCACTTGACTTTTACGTGGTGTTATAGCAGCTGTGCAGTAAATACTCAGAGAGAAATATATCCAAAATTGCTCTCTGAGTGCGTTGGATGAGTATGAAAATTTACTGCCATTAAGACTGACCTTCTCTCTCTCTCCCTTTTTGTGTTCTTTAGTTTTCTACTAGTGTTCTCCTGCCTGGTGCTGTCTGTCTTTTCGACCATTGATGAGTACCAGAACAGCTCAGAAGGGGCCCTTTACATCCTGGTAAGTGGGGGCTGACAGTGGGGTATTAAATAAAGTCAAAACCACACAAACTCCTGAGTCTTGGGGTGTTTTAGGCAAGAATTTAAGCTGTCCCTTGTGAGAAGGGGACTACTCGGGCCTGTGGGTCAGAAATGGGAAAAAAAAATTAAAAAGTCTGGGGCTGCTGGATTCACCTGTCTCCTCTCCTTTTGTCTATTTTCCTATTCCCCATTCCTGCCCTACATCAAATCAAAAGGTGCTGCAGACTAATTAGGGCTTCACTGAGTTTGACACCAGTGAGAAAGGTGAGACAAGATCTCAGAGGGAAAGGAGCATGCATGGGATATTCAGGTAGAGATGGAAGGAGATGGAAAGAGCTCACGTGGCATCAGGGGATGGAGGATCTACACCATGCCTGCACCAGATCTCCCAGTTTTCTAGGGAAAAAGCTGAAATCCCCTTTTGTCATCCTCTAGGATTATTCCCGTTCAGTGATTCCCATCTCTGCCCTTCCCTCAGCATTAACTGAGCTGAGTCCTGGAGACTGGTGGCAGGGAGACAACGAGGTGTTCATCAGTCCTGTGATGGGGGAACAAGCACAATGTGAGGAGGTGTAAAACTCCAGTTCATGACTACAACGTGCAGCACCTCTCACCGCCCTGGGGAGGGGGAGGGAACACACAGAAGCAGAGATCTGATGATCTCTGAGCCTGGGCTCTCTGCTGAGTGCTGCAGACAGCTCTGTGATGTATTTTCCGAGGTGTATTTTCCTGAGAGTGCTCTCCATCATCGTTTTGTCCCCGCTGATGGCACCGTTGTCCTTGCAGGAAATCGTCACCATCGTGGTGTTTGGGGTGGAATATTTCGTGCGGATCTGGGCCGCCGGCTGCTGCTGCCGCTACCGGGGCTGGAGGGGACGGTTGAAATTTGCCCGCAAACCTTTCTGTGTCATCGGTAAGGCCATGAGATTCCCCAGTCCAGAATGGCCAATCCAAGCACTTGCTTGCACGGTGCTCCAGTGTCTTGCATGTATTTTGGGGGTTAAACTTCAGCCGGTTCATGGTCACCTTGAGAAAGGAAAAAAACCCCAAAGGCAGAAGTCCTAATCCATAGCTGTGCTTTTTGGTATTCACCACAGGGCTCTCCCTGTTTTCTGCTGGCCTAGGAGCCATCCCAGTGCCCTGCATACCTCAAGCATCACTGACAGCTTTAGAAACAGGGTTTAGCCAGGAGAAGCTGAGCACAGGAACTGGAATCCTGCAATCTGCATCCAACCTCCACACCAAATTGTTCCCAAGTCATTGAAACTCTGTGTCTTGCTTTGCCTTTCCTGGTGCTGATGAGCTGCTTCACAAGGGAGTTGTGAGACTTAATTAATTATTGTTTGCAAAGCACTCGACGAGTCTCCTGTGAGAGGGGCCATCTGGGCACAGCAGTGATATTTTCTGGGATTAGAAATGGACAGAGTGGCCATGCCCTTTGCTATGGAGACTGCCTTTGGCTGCCCAGAAGCTGGCAATGGTCATATGCAGGATTTCAGTTTATTCCACAGAAAAACGCTCTTATAAAATTCGTGTAGCAAATCAGGGAAGAAGGAGGTTTATGGGATCTTTGATATGTATTGAGCAAGACTTTTTTCTTTCCTTAATCACTTTAGGATTACCATGGATGATGTATAGATTTTCATTTCCAGTTTAGATGGGGGAACTCCCTGCTCTGTGTAACAGGCAGCTATAGCTGATAAAAGAAAAGGCCTTTGGCAAGGATTTAATCCAATGTTAACACTGAATCAGATCAAAATCCGGGCTTTGCAGCATTTGAACCATTTTGTATGGGAATGATGAGCGTGGAGAAGGAAACCAGGATGTTTCCACGAGGTGTGCAGTGGTTCCTTTCATCCATTTCAGATTAGTGCTGTGTCCTTCCATCATGGGACACAAGTGCAGGAGATCCATCACGCACAGCCCGAGGCAGTGGCAATGCCTTTCCCTTTGGTGGTGATCTGGCAGCGCTTCCTCACCTTTCCCTGCCCTGTGTTCCCACAGACATCATGGTGCTGATTGCATCCATCGCCGTGCTGGCAGCAGGGTCCCAAGGGAACGTCTTTGCCACCTCGGCACTCAGGAGTTTGAGGTTCCTGCAGATCCTGCGCATGATCCGCATGGACCGGCGCGGCGGCACCTGGAAGCTCCTGGGCTCCGTGGTCTACGCACACAGCAAGGTGAGCAAGGCCCAGGCAAGCACGTGGAGCTGCTCTTGGTGTTCTCCCCAGCAGAGACACTGCTTTGGTTCAGCTCTCCATCCCAAAGTTCTTCCCAGCCTGGGGAGATTGGAAAGGCACCGTAGGTAACACGGGGGAGCAGCACAGTCAGAGACACAAGGGCTGATGGAGTGTTCCACCAGTCAAGAAGGGAAGGGAGAGAGAGACTCCAGTCATGGAACCAATCCCTGGTGTAAGGGGATCAGTTTGGGAAGAGTTTGTTGATAACTTTTTGTTTCCTGATCCTATATTCATGATTTTAACATTTCTCCTGCTTCCTTCACTTTCCTTTCCCCAGAGAAGCTTAGCCAGCTTCTCCAGCACTGTGTAAGGATTATAGGGAATTTGTGGGTCCCTTGCACTAACCTAATCGAAAAATAATCACTCCAGTGAATTTTGAATTAAAACATCCCTGCAACTGGGGGATAGTCCATCCAGACCCCAACTTCTCCTTTAGTGGATTGGACCTGCCCTAAGTAGAATCTCCAGAGATCTGGGGGTTCCTATTTCAGTTTCAGCTCCACTTCCCTCTGTGAACCGGGGAAATATCAGAGTTTTTAAAGTCTCAGTTCTTGCAATAATGGAGCTCTTAACACTCCTCCATTTGCTGTGTGTGTTTGGATAATTTGGTCCTCAGGCCTGGCAGAGCCATGGTCCCACCTCCAAAAGTGCCATCACTAACCTCCAGCCAAAGCCCCAAAACCTAAACCAGTGCAGGGAAAGTTCAGATCCAGCAGCAAGTAAGAAACTCAGCGTTTGGAGATGTGCACCAGGACTGCAATTATTCTCTTCTTTCTTTTAATGATCTCGCAGGAGCTGATTACTGCCTGGTATATTGGCTTCCTGTGCCTCATCCTGGCCTCTTTCCTGGTGTACTTGGCTGAGAAGGGAGAAAATGAGCACTTTGATACGTACGCAGATGCACTCTGGTGGGGTCTGGTAAGTAATTTCCATAGAGCAGCTGCTGGTTATTAAAATAAAATGTCCATTAACCCTCCATCTTCTATCACTTACGTGAGGTATCGACTTAGAGAGTGCTTAGTTAACATTTGTATTAAATGGCTTCAGACTGTTCCATTTAGCTCTTTTTCTTACATAAACCTCATAGAAAATGGTAGGGGATAACATTTCTGAATTATCTGGAGCTGCAGGGGAACCAAGAACTCCTGTGCTCCCAATTGTGGGATTGAGCTCTGTCGTGACAGAGGCAGGTCAGAGAGAGATCCTGCACCACAGGGTGCTTTGATCATTGTTTTGACAAGTATTGCTGCCGTTTAATTATTGAAATTGCACTTGGGCAAAGCACTGTTGAACACGCTGGAATAAATTTCATGAAATTAATAGGGCCTGAGTAGCAGAAAGACTCCAGTGGGGCGAGCACTCCCCGTCACATTTCTGCTGAAAGGGCAATACTTGTGGTGTGTGCGTGTGCATGTGAATTATTGGATTACCCGAGTAACAAAGAGAGAATTAATGACGTCCTAATCTTCTTGTGTTATTGTTCTTCTGCTCCATCACTAGTTTGGCCTTGATTATAAAGCATGTAACGAAAATCCCCAATCTGATCAAATCCCAATAACAGGCTTGGGGAGGAATCGGCTGATCAAGCAGCTCCTCCATTCCAACAAAGGGAAAGAGGCAGTAAATTGCTTTTCAAGCCCCTTAGTTAGGACAGAAAAGTAAAAACAAAGCCCAATTTGACATAAAGAGAAAATAAACAATGAGGGACAAGTGACAGCCCAGATTAGAGCTCAGTCTGGGGAGAACCATGGGCAGATTTATCCCTTCTGCTTCTGAGACTGTTTTTGCCACTGAGAAGTTCAGAAAAAAAAAAGTGAGCTTCATTAAAATAAGAGTCCAGCTCATGGATCCAATATGAGCAGACGTTGAGAGATGGGATAAATCAAATTTCCGGTTCAGAAGCTCATTCCTTGGTTGATCTTAGTGTATCTAACACTTGTTGTCTATAGAAGTTACAAAAATATTGTAAACCAGCTTTGCAGTGATTATGGAGAGAGCCTTGCTCTGACTCTGTGTTTCAGTAAGGATTAGCACATTGATGCATTTTTTAACCACTTGGTCAAAATAGCATCTAATTGATAAGGCTTTTAGTGGGCCCAATTAAAAAGTGCTTTGGGATCCTACTTCCATTTGTGTTAAAGTGATTTTTTATTCTAAATGGAATGCGTGTTTCCAATGCCACATCAGCATGGTGTCAGTTCCCATCCCTGGGGCCAGCTCTGTCCATGGAGGCTGTGTGACAGGGACAGCTGTGGGATCAGAAGTCTCAAAGATGTCTCTAATCAGACCATCCCTCTCCTCCTTGTCCTGCTAGTCCCAGGCTCTCCAAATCCTCTTGGAAGCCTTGGGGGAATAGCCAGCATTTCCCACTAGTGATGTCCATGGACTGAAGAGGGAAAAAGTGTCTTTCTCTGCAGTTTAAAATTCAGAGGACTCTGTCTCCAACAAATCTCTCAGGTCCTTCCCCAAAATACAGACAGCAGCTTGCCAGCCCTCTCTTGGTGCATTGCAATAACACAAAACCCATCCCTAAATGAGGTGCTGTGGAGGAGCCATAATTCATCCTCTCAGCCTAACAGGCTGTTTTTAAATAGGGGAGTGGAGACCTTCCCAGCTGATAGGCACTGCTGGGAAGATTGGGAATAAACAGCAGCAGGTCTCTGTGCATGCAAATCAATATCTTTCCTGAGCTGCTGAAAGGGAGTTTGGGGGAACGGTGCTGGTTCGCTTCCCCTGCCGAAGGCACAGCCCCTCCTGGGGGAGGCTCCGAGCTCCACCAGCCTCTGCACCAGATGGCAGCTCTCTCTGTGACAGCAAAAGGCACCAAAACGCTCCCAACTGGTGCGAAACCCACACATGAGCAGGGCGGTGTCTCTGCAGCCCGTGGAGCTGCCCGTCCCTGCTGGTCCCCCAGGTCCCCGAGCTGCCTCCCGGCTCCTCCGTGTGCCACTCGGCTGTTGTGTGAGTTTTGGCTGCGTTGTTTCAGTTTTAAGGCTGTCTGACCAAGGGCTGGGCACTGATCTCCTCCCTGCAGATCACTCTCACCACCATTGGCTACGGGGACAAGTATCCACAGACCTGGAACGGGCGGCTGCTGGCGGCGACCTTCACGCTCATCGGCGTCTCCTTCTTCGCCCTTCCTGCCGTAAGTGGGGGGGCTGAGCTCACCTGGGCATTGTCCTCAGCCCCTGGAGCTGGTGGCACTCTAACAGCTACAAAGTGATGCACTCAGAGACCTCCTGACTGTGGTGCCCTGTGGCTTGTGAATCAAAAAATGAGGGAGGACAAAGGAGAGCCTCTTTGAATATCCACAACTTGGGCATCGTGTGCGTGAGGAAACGGGATGGAAACTTTCAGTTTGGCTCTGCACAAATATTTATGAAGCAATAAAAAGCTTTATTTTCCCCAGAAGGCTGTTCCTTGGGGTAATGAATGGTTTTAAGATTAAAGAGGGTAGATTTAGATTTGATATTAGGAAGAAATACTTTCCTGTGAGAGAGGTGAGACACGCACAAGTTGCCCAGAAAGCTGTGGCTACTTTATCAAGGCCAGGCTGGGCTGGGCTTGGAGCAACTTCATCTAGTGGAAGGTGTCGCTGCCCACAGCAGGGGGTTGGAATAAGGTGAGTTTTAAGGTCCCTTCCAACCCAAACCAGTCTGTTATTCTGCAATTACACCATTTCAGCAAATTCCCCCTGTCCCTTTGGCAGTGCATTTCAATGTGTTGCAGGATCTGGATTCCTATGGGGATAATCTGCTGACTGACAGCGTGCTGGGATTCTTTTGTATTTTATCAGTTGGCTGGAGATAGTTTGGGAAAATTTGCAATTCCAGTGAGTGCCAGGAAAGTCTGCTGCCCCTTGGAGAGTGTCTGCCACAGCTGCCAGGATGGACGCTCCTTCCTTCCTCGATGATTGAATCAAAAAATGAGCCGGGAGAAAACCTTTGGAGGGAAAGCTGGCCACAATTTTTAAGTGGAAGCTTAATTAAACCCCTGCTAGCAGCAAATTGTTGTTTTCTTCCCCAGGGCATCTTGGGCTCGGGGTTTGCTCTGAAGGTGCAAGAGCAGCATCGACAAAAACACTTTGAGAAGAGGCGGAACCCAGCAGCAGGCCTGATCCAGGTGAGGATCACATCCAAGGAGCCTTGTGGTTACATCATCCTGGTTTTAGGGACCTTCACAGACTTTTAGAAGTTGGGAGGAGACAAATGGGGCCGTGTGTGTAAGGTGTGAGACAGAAGCTGATGACTGGTTTTGTCTGGGAATAAATGCCAGGAAATCAACCATGGGCAAACAGCATATGTGGTTGGGAATCTAGAGAGAAAAGGGCTGGAATTCAGCAAGCAGCCAGCTCAGCAAGACAAATGCATTAGGACAGTCTGTTTTCAGCCTTTTTTTCTCCCCAAAGAGAATATTTATCCTCATATAACGGTACAGTTGGGAGCATTTTCTTCACGAGAACAGATGTCCGTGCAGAAGGCTTGCCTTGGTGTACATTTTGGAGAATTGAAATTAGTCATTTTACATTCCCCTGCTCCTCTCTCCCCACATTTTTCACTCCTTGATGGGCAACAACACCCATCCTGACCTCAGCCTGGCAGTGAATGCCTGGGACCCACAGCATTTTTTTGCTCACATGGTGAAGAGTGTCATGGTACCACTCCAAGTTTGTCCCTTAGCAGATCAAGGAGAAGGCAGAATGCTGGATCCATCCCTTAGGACTTGGTGTTGGTTGAGGTTTATAAACCCAGGGGTGGTTCTGGCCATTCCTGGGTGCACAATCCCACTGGGTTTTCTCCTGCACAGGCGGCCTGGAGATTTTATGCCACCAACCTGTCCCGGACAGACCTGCACTCCACCTGGCAGTACTACGAACGCACCGTCACCGTCCCCATGTACAGGTACCTCCTCCTCCAGCTTCCTCCTCCCTTCCTTCCTCGTGATGCCACTGTCTCCATAGTTATTTGGATATATAATTTTGCTTATTTATTTACTTTTTTCGTTGTTGTTAAAAAGTTGATTTCGAGCTCCTAAGAGCTGGTATATGCTTTTTCTTTTGGAGTTTTTTTGCTTTGTATTTTTTCATTGTTTTTCTTTTTGACTTAATTTTAATTTCCCTGTTGCTTTGTGTTTTGTTTTTTTTTTTTTTTCTTCCCATGTCTTTGTGTGTGTACATTCTTTTCTTTTCACCTTTATTGCTCCACGCCTGCTGGTAGTTGCATTGTGTTGTGACAGTTGCCGTGCCCAGGTATGAAGACCTCCCTCCAAGCTGCCCTGGATCATAGGTAAACACCACCCTCACCCTACCTGCAGCTCCTCGTGCCCTCTCAGGCTCTCCTTGCTGGTCCAACTGGTCTCTGATGGTCCTTCTGCCTTTCAGCAAACTTCTCTCCCACCCTTGACCAGCCTGGCACTCTCCCAAGTGCATTTTCCCTGGGTCCTCCTTTCCTTTCTTTCCCTTTTTTATCTCTAAGAGGAGGAAAACAACCTCGGGATTCAGGGAGAGTTTTCCCATTTCTTCTATCTCATTTATCCATCCCAGGGTGTTGACACAAGCAGGGCATGACATTGGAACCATGATGGATGAGGCTGCTGAACACCAGTGTTTGAGCAGCACCCACCTGCCTTGCTCTACCTGCAGTAAAACCAGGCAGGTTTTTAGGGTGAAACCACATAGGTTAGGGCAATGCTGTGGAAATTCACAGCCTCCTGGGATTTGGAGCTTCATGGAGCTGGGGACAGAGTCCCCTGCCATGCCCCCCAGCCCACCAGGATATGGGGAAGCACCTTGTCTTTCATGTCCCCTTTGGGCTGGTGGCTTCTTCAGAAGCTAAAATGCACAAGGTTCTATTCATTTTCACCCCACACCTCCCTGTATCCTGGGCAGGCCTATGTGCCCCTTGCTGGTGTATTTTTAGAGGCTATCCATGACTCTCTGGGTTTGTAGAATGGTTGGATATGTTTGTTAGATGTTCCTGTAGCTCTGTGGGGTTTTGTTGGGTGTGATGGGGCTCCCTGTGTCCCATCTCCCTGCTCCCACACAGGGCTGTGGCCCAGCACTGGGCTGTGCCACTGCAGGAATAATCCCTTCCTGTTTTCCCATATTACTGGTGCCATCTAGCCCTCAGGCAGACAGCCTGGATGAATTTCCTGGGGTAAACGTTAGCCTGTGTTTCAAACACAGCAGCCAGCCTCTTAACCAATCATAAAAACCTGTCGGAAGTCCCATTGTTGTGGTCAGCAACTTCTCATTGGATTCATTCCCAGTGTGTGTCTGATTGGTTGCTTTTCCCCTAGAAATTTATGAACTGACTTGAAGATTTTGTTCTAAAAAACCCAAAACATCAACAACCCAACAGAACAGAATAAAGCTGTTTTCCAATAGCATTAAACCCACCCATTGAAACTCTCCCTCCCAGTAGCTGACCTTCTGGCTGTACCTTTGCAGCACTGCCTGGGATCAGCTACTGGAGAGGATAAGGATGGAGCTTGGCCCAAAATCCACTGCAAAATGCACGCACTCAGGGCTTGTTTTCAGTGGACTTTGCCAGATTTTATTGCTCTTTGAAATACTGAACTTACCATGCAGCCAGCCATGCAGTGACACCCTTTTGATTACCTGTTACACAACCCCCTTGTTAAAACCTCTGTTTCTACAGAGCTAATATGCAGGAAGAAATCTGAGCTAAAGATCTCCAGAAAAGGCTAAACAGAAACTCTGAGGAGGAGAAAAAGAGAAATAATATTGTCTGAAGAGCCTGCTTATCTTGAGTAAAAAGCCAGGACAGATTTGTAGAAGGGCTGGAGCTGTGGGTGCTGCTCAGCCCCACACAGCAGTGGCACCCTGGGCTTCCTTAGAAATGGATTTCTCTGGGCTCTCAGCTTCTCCCTTAAATCCCAGCTCCTGTTTGTGCATAGATCAAGTGAACATCACCTGGACAAGTGAGCCGTGGGTGCACCAATGTATTCAGCCCTCAATTAAATTGCTTTTTTTACCAAAAAAACAGTGAACCCCTTCTGACAGTATTTTGAATGCTGTCCAATACATTAAGTGGATTTTTTTTTTTTTTTTAAAAAGGGAGTAACTGTATGTTCTGGCTGCAGCTTGCATCACTCACACTGACCATCTCTCCTTGCCTCCCCACTTCCCCAAGCCAGCTGGCAGGCACTGGCAGCCCAGTGCTGCTGCTGGTGCTGCTGCAGCCATAGCAGCACGTCCAGCCCAGCAGCTCCCTAAGCCATGGCTGCTGACATGTGGCTGCAATGCACAGTCTGGTTTGGAAGTGGGCTAGAGGAGCACAAAATCCCCCTCTCTGGTGCCCGGGGATGATCTGCAGTCACCACTGCCTCAGCAGCCTTTCTGCTCAACACTGAGCTGCTCATTCCTCATAGCAGGAGCCTGTGCCTTTAGCTCATCTCTCTTCCCAAGGCATTTCTGGAAAGGCTTGGCTGCTTGATTTGAGAAAATGTTTACACATGCCTTGGAGGAGCTCACATGACTCCAGAGCATCACTCCAATCACTGCAGTAGAGCTACTCTGATTTGTTTGGGGGAAAATATGGTGGCCTCTGAGAGAATCCCAGATTTTGCCTTTAAATCCAAAATGTGGCAGAACCAAATTCTAAAATATGCACAAGGCTTCTGTGTGTGCAGGTGTGGTTTGGGTTGTGATGCACGAGTTGGCTTGGTGCACCCAGACATCATCAATAACCTGTTCTGCATCAGCCACTGGACTTACTGGAACAAAATCTGCTCTTATTGTCACTCATGAGAGCAGGGCCTTGATCTGAACTACTCTCATATATTGGTCTTCACTAAAAAAACCAAACCCATGGGCACATCCTGCCCATTCAGCAGCCCAGCCCAGGGAGCTGGTGGGGCTGAGGGCTGTGGATGTCCCATGGAAGGTCTCTGGGAGGCCCCCACACTTTCCCTGCCCCGTGGTGCCCATTTGCTCTCGCAGCAAGGTGCCAGCTGCCTGTCCCCGAGGGTGACACGGGCGTGCCGTGGCTCCTGAGCCAGCCACAGCAGGAGCCCAGCTCCTGTGCTCACCTGTGAGCCTGGCCACAGCATCTGCTCCCGGGGACACACTTCGTTCATATGCTAATTTTCTTTATTCTGTTTCTTTCCCCCTCTCCTCCACCCCAACTTCCCCCCTCTGTTTTTCTTTCTCTTACCCCTTTGGTTTTCTTTGGTGAAAACACTTGAAAAGCACGCAAACGCAAACGTATGGTGCCTCCAGGTATGAAGTGCATGTGACTCTGAAAGTGTGTGTCATGTCACTCCTTGTTCTTCATTTGGGACTGTAACATGAAAAGCTTTGAATTAAAAAAAAAGAAAAAAAAAGAAAAAAACAACGAAAAAAAAAAAAACAACCCAGAAAAAACCTTTGAAGATGAGTTTTTTTCCAAGGAATGAGTGAAAGCCCAAAGCAGACGTGCCCTCCTGCTGCTACAGACTAACCCCCTGCACCTCCATGTACATTTTAGCTATTGGTACACACAAGTGTTGGGAAACTGCCAAAATGATGATGTAAGGAAGGAGAATGGGAGCGTGCTTGATAAGCTTGCTTTGTTAAGGATGATTTCTTGATGGTCTTTCTAACCCCAATCCATGCAATGCTTAACAGGAGAACATCCCCATTCATCTTCCATTTCCTTCTGCCCTCACTCCCGTGTGTTCCTTCTCTCCAACCCTCTTCTCCCATTCTTCATTGTGTCATTTATCTGGCTCTGGGCTGCAGGAGTTGTGCCCACCCAGTAATGCTGGCCTTGAGTTTGCTGGTGTGGTGGCACCACAGGGCACATCAGTGTTAGCACAGAATAAAACCTCCAGAGCAGCTGTGCCTGCTTTTGAGGGTAGAACCTGGAGAAGAGAAAGATCTGGGATGCTAAACTGATATGATCATTCATTTCTTTGAGTAATCCAGTCTTATTTTTTGGTGAAAGAATGCTTCATCTCAGCAGGACTTTTCCATTTCAGTTTTTAGTTCCAAGACTCACCTAGAGCTAAGCAGTTATTAGCCACAGTTATTCAATCTGGGACTTAACCTTTTGGGATCAATCGAAATGCTAAGTCCTGGATATGGCTGTGTAAGATTTATGATAAATAATATTATCTCAGGTTCTGCAGAAATGAGTAGATTTGCAAATCACAGGCATATTTTATATGAGATGGGTATCTGAAGGTGTAGTCAAGTTAATATTTTAAGATGGGGAATAAATGACTTGCATTTCAAGACTGCAGACCAAGCTCTGTTCTTAGAGCAGTTTAAATCCTCACTAGATGCAGTAATGCCACTAGAGCTGATGTGATTTAGTGTCTGATTTTGAAACCCAGTTCCAGTTTTCACAGATGCAAGTTTTACAGCCTTACTAAATCACACTTACTGCTCTGTGTGCTTAATTTATAGCAAATTGCATCAATGAACTGCAAGTATAACATTAGGAATATATTTTCCTGTTGTGCTGAACAACAGCCTGTTTTGAGAATTAGACATTTTTCTGCTACTGGGAGAGGAATAAGAATGTGCCACTTCGGTTCCATTTGTTGTAATGAAGTATTTTATAAGCTTCATAAATGTTCTCAGTCATGAAAAATAGCTTCAGTTGGAGACATAAAGTCATGATTGGGGCAAAAAATTGGCTGCTCATAGGCTCATTTAGGTTCCCATCCCATTCCAGCACCCATCTCCTTGTCACCGTCTCCTTGACTGTTCATCCTGGGACTGTTCCAAAAAATCATCGTGGTGTCCGTGTGCGTGCCGTGGTGTGTCAGTGCAGCTCCCGCTGTGTCGTGTGCTGCTGCCCTCCTCGTGCTGTGGAGTTCTGGTGGTGTCCTGGCCCGAGGCATGACCTCCCTCCTGTCCCCTAATGCTTGAAAAGTTCTCTGTGCTCCCCGGAGCGGCGGATCCGCCTTTCCCTGCGGATACGGGAGCCAGCACCCCGAGTTAGTGTGGCCTCTCTCTGTGCTGGACTGGGAGGGGTGGTGGAGGCAGCTGGGGGGACCTGCAGCTGCTCCCAGGTGTTGTTGTGTGGGTGGCATGAGCTGTGTGTGTCCCGTGGTGTGCACATTCCTCAGCCAGCTCCCCCTTAACTGGAACGCGCTTCCCTTGCTAACCAGTGACACCCGGACCAGGAGGAGAGAGAGAAAACATGAGAGCCCCAGCCAGAGGTTCCTTCTGAACCTGGCATGGTGGCACCTGTGTCCCCCGTGCCCTGGGCACACACCAGGGCCGGGTGCTGTGCATCCAGCATTCCACAGCAATGCTCAGTTCAAAAGCTGTGCAGAGTTCTGTCTTTTTTTGGTTTTTTTAAGGTTCTGGAGAAATGGTGTGGTGCAGGAGCTGTTCCCCAAGCTGCTCTTGCAATGACAGGTTAGGCTAAGCACTTAGTTGAGATTAAATTTCAGGTCAAGTATATGTGTAAGTTTTCACCCATTTTTAATAATAATTATTTCAGTAAAATACCGATTATTTCCACCTCATGGTACCAGGCCCATGAACCAACCACAGAAATGGCAAATTTCTGTGTTTGTTGTGTGTCTGTACTTCCTCATGGAAGCATCTGTAGTGGCCCAAGAGGTGGCCACCTTCAACCCACTGCAGACCATGGTGCAAAAGAATCAGTTCCTTTTGGAATCCTGACTCCTCCAGTCTTTTGAGTTAATGAACTCCTCAGCTGGGACTTGCACCAGTGAGAGCCCTGGATCTGCAGTCCCAGCTGGGGCAATTGTCCTGTGTTCTGCTGGGTATGGCCCTCCCTGAGGAGTAAATTCACCAAAGGAGAGCTGTGCACCCTTCATCCCCTGCTGAGTCCAGCCTGTGCTGGATTTCATGCACCACCTCTCCCAACCTGGAATGCATCTCCAAACCCTCCGGTGTGTGTGAAGGGAGGTGACAGCCCAGCACTCGTGCACAGCTCCACTGCATCAAGGTCAGCCTCTTCCTGATGTCTGGAATGAAGAGGATCATTAATTCAGCAGATCAGGATGTGCTTTTCTCTGGATGGAAGTGACTGGGGAGCTGAGCCAAAATTTTTCAGGCCTATTTTTATTCTTTTCTCCATACTTAGAATTGGAAAATTTTTTGATTGCCTCAATCTTGTGAACACAAAATCTCTGCTGAGCCACTGTAGTTTTGAGGATAAGTTTTGTGCCTGCAGAGAAGAGGCTTTTCCAGTTGAGTTGATTTTTTTTTAGTTAAAGTGGGAAACTATTGGTCTCATCATGGCTGAAAAAATGTGGCAGGAATATCACTCCCTTTATTTTATTAGAAGCCTTATTTCTAACAGTCTCCCCCTGACACCTCTAGCCTATGTTTCTCTTGTTTGAAAACCTGGCTGGGAATATCAATATGAAATATTTATGGAGAAAGCCCAGAGTCTCATGGAAGAATCCAAAAATGGATGTGGAGCTAATTCCATGGCTTTTAAGCACAAAAGCAGGATAGGCCACAGATGTTTGTTCACTGGATTTTAAAATTCTTACCAGGATTCCCATTGTCAGATTTTTTTTTTTTGTACTGAGAAGAGAAGGAAGCCCTGTGGTTTCTGGAAGGCAGTGACACAAGATTTGTTTCATTTTAGGGCAAAACCTGACATGGACAGTAGGGAATTGGTTAAATTCGACCCTGGAGCACACTGCTGTTTCTCCTGGGATGTTCCCAACCCCAGTCCTTGTTTCCTCTGCTCCACAAGCTGCTCCTTCCCAAGAGAAGCAGGGTTGAGTTTTCCTATTTTTCCCAAAGCTGGAGTTTCTCTCCATCTAGCAATGCCAACCTGCCAGACTACAGCTCTGCCAAAACACCACCAGGCTGCCCAGGAACCCTGGCAGCTGCTTGGTTTTGGGGAGGTTCAAAATCCAGTGGTGCAGACAAGTTTCTCTCTCTCTCTTGCTGTCACTTTCTCTCTCTTACCCCACTGCTCTGCCTTAGGACACTGTTGGAAGTAGCAGCCAAACCCCTCTCCATCCTTCCTGAGCTGTCCCCCAGCTGCAGTTGGTGGCACAAAACTGGTTCTGGTTGAAAGGATGGGGCAGCAGGGGAAGTTGCCAAGACAGGAGGCTCTGGAATCAGCTCTGTCTGGGTATTAATGCTCTTTGTTTTCTCCCTCTAGACTCATCCCTCCTCTGAACCAGCTGGAGCTCCTGAGGAACCTGAAGAGCAAGTCGGGACTGACATTCAGGTTAGCAGCAGAGTTAAGAGAGTTTGGAACGCACACACTTCACAATATTTTTCTTTTTCTCCTTTTTTCTTTTTTCCTTCCTGCCTTTTGCATATGGACATCCTTGAAGATGAAAGAGGTTTGACAGCTGGTCCCACATGGGTCACTCAGTGACCTCCTCCCTGCCCCTCTCCCGTGCTCTACATGAATTCCTTCAGCCTAACTTGGCTCTGGAGCAATGTCATGGTGCTTGACTGACAACTCAAAGTCAGATTCCCAAAGGGGCTGATGGAGATTGTGATCTCAGTTTTCCTCTGACCTTTCTGCTCTTCACCACACTCAGAGGACACTCAGGCCCAGGATGTGTTAATTCATTCTCTGTTCCCTCCAGTGACAGCAGGCAAGGTTGCAGCAGTGAGATATTTTTTGCTAAATTGGCTGTGGCAAGGTTTACAAGAATCCCCCAGGAGGGTGGGAGTCCTGCACCTTCACCCTCTGCTTGGGAGGGATAATTCTTGGGGATTTTGGTAATTCTTGGGGTTTTTGAGTGGTCAAGGCTGCCCGGTTGGTGAATGGGGAGACCTTGGCAGGGGTGTAGAGGTGCCAGTGGGCATCAGGGCCAGCTGGGAGGTGTGGGATGGGGCCTGCCCTGGGCTGTGTGCCTCCATAAAGAATACACCCCTGGGTCAGCCTGAGCATTTTAAAATGTGAATATTTGAGCTAGTGACTGAGGCTGGGCTTCCAAGCTTTTCTGAGCAAGAAGCAGAGGGGGGAAAAGAGGTTTTTATAGTGTCTCCAGGCTGCTGCCTTTAGCTGAAGGAGAGGGGTCAGGCTCTGTGCAGGTCTGACTGAGTGGCAGGGCCAGGGCTGGTGCAGCATCACACTCAGAGGGCACCTGTGTTAGGGGAGGCAGAGCTGATTCTGCTGAGGAACACGGTCTGCTCCCTCTCTGGGAGCTGCAGGGGCAGGGCTGGTCGAGGCCCCCAGTGAACACCACTCCCCAGTGTAGGAGCTGTGAAATGGAGCAGCTCAAGGCAGAGCAGGTTTTCCTCATTGCTGGAGGGAAATACCACCACAATGCCTGGTCAGTGGAGGTGAGGGGTATTTTTCAGTGTGGCCTCAGCATGGCTTGCAGTGTCCTGGCTGCCGTTTTGTAGGCATTCAGCTCACTTTGTCCTGAATGATTTTTCAGGGCAGTCCAGTTTCACATCTCAGTATGAAACTTCAAACACAGATTGTGGTGGCCCACTCCCTTCATGTCTCCTTTGCCAACTACTTTGGTAAAGTAGCTGCCAAAGGCTCTGGAGGCACAAACCCCAGCTGAGGTGTCAGGGCAGGGGTCCCTGCTTCTTCCCACCCATGTCCAATCCCAGCACCCAGTGTGAATCTGTGCATTTGGAGATCTGACATGAGCTCTGTCCCAATGGCCAGGGAGGAAAAGCGAATGCACCAAGGTCATGGGAGCTGTTCAAACCCTTGCCCATGTGCAGAAACATGAGGGCAGTGCATTTCCAAAGGAATGGGCCTGCTCTCTGAGCCCACAGAAGTCCTCCTGTGCTCACACAAATCACACGACCCTCAGGTGTCTCAGTGGTGCGTAGGCACAAGGATGGGTTGGGGTGAAATCTTCAACCCTGTGCGTTGTATGTGTCTTCTCTGAGGTTGTGTGAGTCTCCAGTGATCTTCTGTCCGGGCCAGAAACTCCAGGAATTAAGTGCTCCTTTCCCTTTCTTCTGTCCGCAACTTCCACTTAGTTGTATTGTTTGGTATTGTCGTTTCGTTATGTTTTAACAGTGAAGCAGCAACATCTTTTGCCACCTGACACCATGCTAATGTACTATTGCTTCTGTTTAAAGGAAAGAGCAGCAGCCTGAACCATCGCCAAGGTCTGTATCACTGCCCACACGCCATCCCCATGCATTCCCTGTAGATTTCTGTGTGTGTGAGTGTGTGTACCATGTCGTGGCACCATCGAGGGAAGCATTCCTAGGTATTACCGTGCTTTTCCTGTGCTGTGCAGTCCAATGTATCTACGTGTATGCTGGACCTTAAATCATATCTTCCTTCCTTCCAGCCTGCCTCGGGCTGGAGCTGCAGGGTAGCAAGGCTGGGGGGGAATGGAGAGTGTGGCAGCACAGGCAGAGCTGGCAGACACTCACAGGGGTGACAGCAGGGCTTTGGTTTTACGCTTCTTTGTTTTATTTCCTTGCTGGGGTTGTAGCTGAGTAACTCTGTGTAATGCAGGCTCAACGTGTGCCCAGGGGCAGGTGAGGCTTTGCCTGTGTCTGTGTCACCCGTGCTGGGCAGAGGTGACACAGGGAGCACGAAGCCATCGCCATGTCGCCACGTTAGCAACCTCTCCTGAGCTCCTGTGGCTGCAGGGACGGCGTGGACCTGCTGCTCCGTGGGACACAGGAGGGCTCTCTGGCACGGCACGAGGTGGCATGGCAGAGACACCCTTTGTCCACGCCATTCCCTGGGGAGGAAGCACATTCCCTGCTCCATCTTCCCTCCACGCCTCCAGCCCACGGTGCAGAGCGTGCTCTGGGTCGTGGCGAGCACCTTCCAAGGGCAGCCGTAAATCTCACTTGTGGTAGAGCTTTTCTCACTTCACAGCTCCCAGGGAACCAACAGGGCTGGTGTTTGGGATACTTTTAGGGCACTCTTCATCCACTTAGGAGTATTTAATTCTGGGATTTTTTTGTCCTATATTTTCCAGTTCTTTTAAAAAATAATTCTGGAACTGAATCTCTTTTTGTTGTTTTTTTTTTCTTGGCTGATGAGACACAAAGTGATGATCAGTGAAGATCATCTGCTTGGCTTTCAGATCTTCCATCTCATTCCTCAAAACACAGCTTACAGCCTAAATTTTATAAACAATGAATACATTTTTCAGAAGTACAGCTAGAGCCTGGCATTCTGCAGATGTACCTCTCTGCCATGCCTCTTAGCTTATAAGAGGTCAGAAACTAATTTTTCCTCGGCATAAAAGCCAACCAAAGATATCTGGGTAGATATAGTGCTGACTAAAAGGGTGGAAAATTTCATCTTTCCTTCCTTCTCCCTCTCTCCCCCCCCCTTTTTTTTTTCCCCTGTCATTCATTTGAGCTTTTCTTTGCAAGAAGAACCTTTGTAGCACTCCATCTACTTTCCTGCCAAATAACCCAAATCTCCAAGATCATGTTTCAACAATCCAGATTTATTTATTTTATTTATTTTCTGCTTGAGATCTTAAGTGTAGCTTGAGTGAAAGCAGCTTCCACCCAGCATTGTTAAAGCAGGGAGCATTACTTGGGAAGGGCTCCCTGGGAGCAGACCAAGACTGAAATCTTGGCCACCTGCCTGTGGCATCAGGAGGGTCAGAATTTCATCCCAGGTTCTGGCTGCTCTGCTGCCCTGACTCAGCCAGTGATAAACTTTGGATGTATCAAAGGTGCATCCACATTTCTTACAGTGCAATGAGACAAAATCCGTGTTCAGCCCCATCTGCTCCATAGCCAAGGAAATCTGAGGTCTGACGCTGCCTTATAGGAATACACCAGCCAGCATCCCTGCAATCACAAGAAATACTCTTATTTCTGAGTCACTAGTCTTATTTTTAATTTTTGAATCGCAGTCCTTTCTTGCAGGGTTCATATTTATTTACTTGAAACCTGAAGTTGTGTACAATATTTCTTTGTAGAGGTTGCAGGTTTTCCCCCAGTAATTTTCTACTTTCTCAACCTTATGTCACAGAAAGAAGTAAAAATAGTCCTTCCCTGTCCTTTTTCAGACTACTTTTTACTATTTATAGATCCCTCATCAGAGTAATTTCCAAGTGCTGTTTCCTGCTCCTGTGGTGCATCTGTCTCTTGTGACACCGATGGGTTTTGTTGCTAAACCCCAGCCTAAGGAGGCTTGGGCTGAGGGTCTGCAGCTGCTGTGCAGAGCTTTAGAGTTTATTCCAGATTGTTCAGTTCTGCTGCCATGGCAGCACCAAAGCTCCTTCCTTCTGATCTGTTAGGACAACACCAATTCTACCTGTTCCCACTGTCCTTTTCCTTCCATCTGATAATGCCTCAGACCTCAGGAAGGAATTTTGCATTCAGGGGGGCCCAATTACCTATCTTCCCCAATAAATTTTTCTGGGTCTTTTACATTCACTTCCCAAATCTTCCACCCACTCGAATTTCCAGCAGCCTCCCGGTGATGCTCAGTGTGTCATCCTGCCCTTAGAAAAGAGAACTCATCCTGTTTCTCTGCCCACCTGACAGTTAATCACCCACTTGCTGGTGATGCTTCACTCAGGAAGCTCCTGAGGATGAATTGTCTCTCTTAGCAGACCCCAGCTCCACACTTTTACTGCTTCAGCTGGAAAAGGATTTTCTACTTTGCATTTCCAACTCTGTAAGAAATAGTCTTACACCTGGAGGTAGCTGGATCTTCCTCCTATTCTAGTGATGTGTAGGGAGTGGCTGATTTCCTATATCCTTCTTTCCATAACTGATACACCACAAACCCCCTGCAGCAAATGGAACAGAAAGAGCTTTTTTCACTATTTTTCACCTTATTATGTTTCAATTTAGAAAAAGGATTGCTGGCATGGCACATGGGATTATGCTATGCAGGATGTTAAGGATAAACATTGTCTTGTGAGGGCAGGGAGCATCCCAAGCATTCTGCCAGTGCACGGGGTGGCTGTTGGGGTCCTGCCCTCTGACCCCAGTGCTGCTGTGGCCGTGCTGATTTCTGCCCACACAGCTGCTGCCCGGGCTGGGAGGACACGAGGAGGTGATGGGGTCAGTGTGGCAGAGGCTCGGGGTCACCTGCCATTTCTCTTGGGTGCCTTTTGATTTAGTCTTGGCATAAAATGGGACAGCTGATCTGAGACACAGGTTACATCCTTTCTCTATGTTTTCTGCTTTGTTTTTCCACCACGAGCTTGTCTGCATCCACATCTGAGTGCTGGGAATGCTCTGTGCTGACTTGCTTGGGGACCAGGAGCTCATCTCCCCCAGGGGTGGAGCCTAGGCTGTGATGAGCAGAAGAGATGCTGGCCTTTTCCCACATGCTATGTACCTCTTCCCTCCTTTTTATTTTCCTCCCTTTAAAAAACAAATGCGTTCAGAGCCTCCTGTTGCCCATCACTTTGGGTGTTGTGTCCACCCTGCCCCTGTCCCTCCCCAGGCTGGCTGTGCTGCCAGGACACTGGGACCCATCCCACCTGCCAGACCACACTGCTGCCACAAAAACAAATCCACTCTCCCTCATATCCCCAGGGAAAGGGGCCTGCTCTGTGCTAGGGCTTTTCTCACCCCTCCTGCTGCAGAAAGCCAGCAGATGAGAGTGGTAATGGGAGGTGATTACTCTTCTGTTAATCAGGCTGAAAATTAGCTGTGGCATCTCGTTTCTGTTTGTTTTGCTTTAATTGTTATGTCAAAAAGGCAGACACATGGTTGCCAGGGCTATGGAGGCTCCTGTATGAAATGTGGGCTTCAGATGCTCTTTAACAGATGGTTTGAGAAACATCTGAAGGCATCCACAACCACATTTCTTCCTCTTGCATTTTCCAAAATACGATTGGGCGAAAAGCTAAAAGTTAATGAACCAAATTATCATAATAACACATTAATATCAGAGAAAAAGAATCAGAAGGATTCCAGGGAAATGGGAAGCTAAAACTCAGATTACTTTGTCCAGCATGAGTTCAGTGCTGTAGGTAATGAGAGGAACCTGTTTGGAGGGTTGTTCTCAGCTGTGGTTTGTCCTTGGCCCCAGTGAGCTCAGCAGGGCCTTGGCCATGGGTGAGTGCTGGGCTGGGTCCCTTGTACCGTGTGTGTATATCTGTGTGTATATCTCTCTCTCAGTGTGTGTATATGTCTGTCTGAGATACACACAACCCCAAGATCTCTGTTCAGGGGTGTGATTAAGGCTTCTGTATGCACTGGAGGATGCCTTTGGTTGATTCAGTGGGCCCCTGCTCATCCAGCCAAGGATGGAGGTGTCCCAAACCTCTACTGCCCATGGGAACCCACGGGCCACATGAGCCTGGCCTGGTGTTTGGCCTTCTAACCAACTTAGCTGGTGTCAGAGACTCATGCTGGGACTGACAGTAATCTGGAAATAATCAGTTTCCTTTAGAGGAGCGGATTATTTGCACAGAAGGAACTGCATCTTTCTGGAGGGACTGCAGAGGAGACTGAGAGGAGAGAAACCCACACGTCTCCCTGAGGCCCTGCATGCTCAATATCCCCCTCCCACGCCAGCTCCAGGACAGCCCTGGGAGCACCAGCAGCCCCTGGGGCTCCCTGGGGATGCAGGGTCCTGATGTGGACACCTGAGGAGTCCCCAGGACGCCAAGGGTGGTGTTGGCTGAGCTTGCATGGGATGCTGTGCCTGTGAGCTCCTCTGATTACCCAGCTCAAGTGTAAAACAAGATTGGGATTTGATGCCCTTCAGCCTTTCCAGCCTGCCCATGAACTCAGCAAGAGCTGCCTGCTGGTGGTTGGTGGCCTGGTGGGGTGATGGGGCCACGTCATTCCCCTTCCACAGGTAGAGGGCTGCTCCATGGCGTGGAGGACCCTGGTGCTGGTGGGGATCTCCTGGCAGGGCAGTGCCTGAGCAGCCATTTGGGATGGAGCTGTGCTGGTGCCGCCTCAAAGTCAGCAACTCCCCAGAAGTGGTAGGGCCTGTCTGAAAATCTTCACAAAAACCAGATGTGTGAACACAGATGTTCAACTGCCGTCTCGTAAGGGACTGCACCGCACCCTGTTTTTATCTATTTTTGTTTTTTTAATGCCAGGCTTAATATAATGGTATTTCCCATATGAAAAGTGCAAATAATTCACAGACTAACTAGCTCTCTTTGTGAATGGGGTTTTTTTAGGGGGATAAAAAAGAAGAAATTTGAGCTTTTTGGTTATTATTTGACAAAACAAGTTAAAGTTTTGGCTTTCCATGGTTTACACAATTTGAAAAAAAAATTACCATTTTATCTATTTAGAGGAAGAACAGAGTTTTTTTTTTGTTTCCAATACAGATGAAAAATCTTCCTGCAGTTAATTGTAGATAAACTGACGCCACCAACTCAATGAGCAGAATGCCTCATGTCTAACAATTAAATTTACTGACCACAGTGAAACAAATTTCAGAAACCCTCTTGATTTTTTATTTACTTCCATTTTCCTCACTGAACACTCAAACAGAACAATCCTGTCATGAACCCGGCCCTCAAAACACCTGTCTTTTAAACCTAGAGTCCGTAATCAAAAGTTTCCTGTCTGGCATTTGCTTCCAGGTCTAATTTTTACTCTCCCCTCATTTCCAGTAAAAGCAAACCGTGCAGAGAGTCACTATGCGGATGCTGCTCAGGAAACTCTAGGTACCACGGGAAATGCGTCGCACGAAACTAATCAAAAGCTGCACGGCTCATTCTCCCTCTACCCTGCTACCACCCGTTCTGATCACTTCTCTGCTTAATAGAGGTACTAGATGAGTAAAAAAAAAAAAAAAAAACAACAAAAAGACAAAGGTGGAAGAGCCTTCCCTGGCTGCCAGTTGTGCAGAGCACACGAAGCGTAAGGGATGAGGATGGGGAATTTGGGCTGGGCTAGCCAAGCCAGTGTCTGCTCAGCAAGGGAGGAGGCCAGGAAATGAAGTTTAACAAATAATGGAAAATTAAAAAAAAAAAAAATAAAATAAAGCCAAATGAAAAATCTTATTTTTTTTTTTTAAGAAGACCCCTTCCTCCCTATTGCTCCATCCCTCCTCAAGGTCCAGGGAATCCTTGCAAATTGACTTGCACTGTACAGCAATGTCCAGTTAGTAGCATGAGAAATACCAGCTTCCTGCCTCTGCTCAGTCACCATTCCTTTGGCTCTCTGACCGTGACAAATTGACCTTTCCTAGCCTGGTGGCCTTTGGAAGCCACAGCTTGCCTATCTAGCACCTCTACTACGCAGCTAGAGAAGGACTAATCTCAGCCTGTCCCACCAGACCTAGGGGACACGGGCTCCCCTGAGTGTTGACATTGGCCTTGTGAATGATTCTGTTTCTAGACCCCCAGGGGGACAGACAGCTTTAGCTCAGGGCTTTCTACGAGCAGGGTTTGCATCTTTTTCATCCAGCTGACAACTGCGAGGTGTTTTCAGGGGCTTCCCAGCGAGCATCCCTTAGTGCACCCACGGCCATATACACAGACACATAGATCTTACGTTCCTTGTGCATAAATACTTCCACACCTGCACTAGAAGAGTCTCTGCCCCCCACCCCTGCTCCTCAGCAGCAAACATGCACCTTCTTGATGTCCCACTGCCCAGAGTTTGCATGCTGTGAATGCTGGCAGGGGACCCCCAGCTCCTCGCCCCGCAGCCAGGCAGGTGGACAGCCCAGGAGTGGCAGGGCACTGAGTGATGCCGCATGTTTGTGAACTCGGAATTTTTGCATGCTCTTTTTTTGGAGTCCGTTTTAATTCTCAAAATCACCAGTCTCTGTATCCCTCAGAAAGCCAACAAACTACAGCTTTGAAAGTATAAAACTGCAGCTCTAACAGTATATGTATCTCTGATTTTCTTCATTAATTGTTTCAACCTGTATCTTTTCTTTTCTTGCTATTTTTTTACTTGCTGGCTCTTTTTATTCTCTGTCAGTCTAGAGGGTAGGACTCGTGGCTGAGGTTGGCGTGTACCAGGTGCTCAGAAGTAGAGTGGTAAATCCCATCTCTGAATGGGTAACAAAGAGGAATGGGGCATGATCTAGGGTTCATAAAAAGCAGTTTCTCCATGGTAGGAAATCCTTTGCATCTGGATGAATAGCCTGAATCTCTGAGTCAGCCTCCTGCTACATATTTGGTGGTGCTGTGGCCTTCCTTGAAGGTTAGCCTTGAAAAATGTGGGTGAATATTGGGTGATCATCAGTTGCACAGGCAGCATTTCAAGACAAATGGCAAAGATTTCGTCAATAGTCTAGCTGGAAAAAAAATGATCCTGACTTCTGTGGTGTTTCCATTTGCCAGGTGAGGTTGTTTTATGTGTGGAGGTGCAGTGTGAGCAGGGACTCCTCCCCAGAGAAAGCCTCCTCTCAGCTGCTTAACACTGAGGTTGTTTTTGGCAGAGGTGAAAATGAGCAGTGCTATTCGTAATCTGTCCTCTCATCTGTTCATGTCTAATTCTGTTTTCTGGAAAATCAGCCACTCTGATCTCAGTGTCTTTCTTGCATGTCTTCCTAGGCATGGATTTTTAGTTGCTAAAGCCAGTGTAATTTTTTTCTGTTATCTACTGAATTCCTTCCCACTGTGCTCCTCATTTCATCTCCCCCGTCTTGAGTTCTGCAAGGGAAAGGGAGGATGAAACAAAGTGTTACCTCAATATCTTCTTAATCTATTAGAGTGTCTGAAAAGGAGGATGGCAGACTGTGGTTCTTCCAGTCAAAAAGGAGCCTTGAACTTTGGGGTAGCTACAAGAGCATCTTTGTTTCCTGCATCCATCCTGAATGTAGTGTTACACACCCTGTGCTTTAGTAAAACTGTGGGTTAACTGTGAAGGGATGTAAAAATAATTCAGATGTCTTGTTTCTCTGGACCCTTGGGTGTCTGCCACCAATCCCCACTGCACAAGCCCTTGGGGCAGATGCCAGCACTTTGATGCAGCTCAGGCTGAGTGCTAAAAGCCTTCATCTAAGATGCACATAACGAAATAACAGCACACAACGAGGCAATCATGGAAAACTCAATGTAGGTAAATTAATAGGAAACTCCTTAGAAGCTGTGGTTTCTTAATGTACTAAACCAATGATCTTCAGTCAATAAATGCAATAACACATTCGTTTTTAGACAGTAATGTAGCTACACCAAGCCAGATTATCAGCTGTATCGTATTCTGCTTTGTAAGAGACTTTCCCGGCACAGTCAGAGATGAGGGCACCTCACAGTGGGAAGAGGAGGCACCAGAGAAATGAAGGAAAGGTGTTTGCAGAGCCCTTGGCTGGCCTGTGGCTCTGGGTGGAGCAGATTCCTTAAAGGCTGGTTTGGGAATGATCAGCCAGCTCGGAGGTGCAACCTGGCTCCTTTGCTTTGCCCCAAAATGCAGAGCAGCCCATCTGGCAAACAGCTGGGAGAAGATGCAGGATGTGGCTGATGTGGTGTCTGACAGCACTCAGAAGAAGTTTGGGAGAGGAGGGCTGGGAGTTAGGGAGGGATGAGTGATTATAACAGAATGCTGCAGGACAGCAGAGTTACAGACACGGGTCTGGCTCCAGTGTCCCTTCACTCATCCAAGGCCCTTTTTGTGCTTTTCTGTGCTTGTGTGGTGGCTGCAGGGGTGGTGCAACTCCAGTCTTTGCCATCACAGCATCAGTGGCTCCCATCCAAGTCTAGCACCGTGGTTGAGGAAAAGGAGAGGGATTGCTCACCATGACACAGTCACTGGCTGATGTTTTGTTTTCCTTATGCCCAGGTTTCTCTGTTTCTAGAAACTGCATTCTCCAGGCTGAATTCACCTTTTAGCAATGATTTTTTGGAATCACTGGAGGCAAACCAGGCTTGAGCCAGGCCCTCTCTTGGTTTCTGTTTTAGTCACGGTAAATTTTGCATACACAGTTTTATTTTCCCTTCCTTCATGTCTCCAGTAATTGGTTTCTGCCTATTACTCACACCAGCAGGCAGACTGAAGCCCAGTGATAGTGACAAAGGCCATCATTCACTCCTGGCACTCCTGCCTGGTTTTAATGAGTTGTTCTCATATGCCACGAGCTCAGCATAAACTCTTGGTTTTAAAAAAAGCCCCTCATTTGCCAACAGGAGACAACCTTTTTCTCCTGGCTACAGCTTCCCAGAAGAATGAGCACTGATACTGGTTGGGTTTGGATGCAGAGATGGATCTGAGTGTGTGCTTGTCCGACTCGTTCTGGCTGGCTGAGAAGAAAATGAAGTAATGGCTCAAGCAGAGTTTAAAATCAATGACAAGACCTTACAACTGATACTTTTTATTGATTTAAAATTACTGCTAATGTAATGAGTCCACATTTTTTTTTAAAAGTGCTGATTTAATACTATAGAGAACTGGAATGAACCCCAAACCAGAGCTTTTCAAACAGGAGCTTAAACCCCTGGCATCCTAAGGAGGCTGATGGCAGCTCATTTTGAAGGTCAGTACTTGCACATTTCTCTGCTGAGTGCTGAGCAGTTGGACTTAACCAAAATGTAAAGCCCACTAAAGCAGTGAACATCATCCAGTTTCTCCAGCATGGACTTTCATTTTTTGACTGGCAACAGAGAAAAATCAGCCCAATTTCTATCCTTTGTTAAATTCAAGTAAAAACCTGAATATTTATAAGCCTTCCCCACAGTCAGCCTGGAAAGGTAATTTTCTGCTATCAAATCTGTTTTCATAAATGCCACTTGGAGTGGTTATGAGGACCTAGAATTAAATCACACCCTATTAGGCTGTTGTGGCTTCCCCTAATCTGTGCCTCTGGTTGCAAAGCCACAGTTCCCTTTCCCTTCCTTCCCCTGGCTCCTGCCCCATGCTCTGTCATGACTGAGAGTGTCCATCTGTCCCTGTTGTCCTCCATGTCACCAACACTCCCCACCCAACTGAGGCTCATTTACCATCCTGGAGTGACATCCAAACACCTCCCTGAGACACTCTGCATCCCTCTGCATGACGTTCTGGTTGAGTGAGAACATGATCTTGGATTCGCTGACAACATATATCCCTATGTATGTCTGTATTTCTTTGGGATTTTTTCCTATCAGCTCCTGCAGACCCCAACAGCATCCTCCTCTGCAGAGATTGTAGTGCATGTGATTCCAGGTGTCGTTTCCAATGAGGGAATTGCATGGCAGAAGGAAAAATTCAATTAATTGTACATGGTGTCTCATGTTGTTTATGTTAAAACAGAGAAGTTACATCAAGTGTTGGGTTTTTTTCCTCAGTGAGTACTTGGGAACAAAATCCACCCAAATCTTAATTGTTCATCAGATTGCTGTGAGATTTTTTAATGTGTTGCTTCTCATGCTCTCAGGCTTGAAAATCTTTGTTCATATCCCTCACCAAGTTCAATCCTTTCTTATTTGCTTTTTGTGATTCCTGCAAACATTTGTAGCACATTTGTTGTGGGAATGGAAAAGGGGCTCCAAGGAGAAGGCCCTGCCATACTCAGTGAAAGGCAACTGGTTTTATGCTGGGATTGGTGATGGGAGAAACTCAGCAGAGGATAGGGCACAAAGAGATCACTTTGAATCCTAAATATTGCTGTGTTGCTAAAGCATTTTTATAAAACTTACTTTCTAAAAAGGTTATTCAAAGTAATAGTGCTACTGAAACACAGTGGATTCAAGAAATATTATTCTGTAAAATCAACAAAAATAAAGAAAAAAGATCCAGTTGGCCTATTTAGAATCAAATGACGAAATTTCAGTCTGGTTTCTAATCCAAGAAACTCAGAGTGAGAATTTCTTTTAAACCTTTGGCTCATTATGTATGATAATTTTGGTAGCATTAGTAATGAAGGCTTACATCCAGAAAGGTGTTTAGGCATGTGCTTGTCCCCAGATTCCTGTGTGCATTTGTCCCTCTGACCTGGATTTCAGCTTTTCTGGTCACAGACAGACCCTGCAGATGAGCACCACACTGGAAATCCAATCCCCAGCACTTACCTGAATTAAAATTCAACTTTAATTGGAATAATTCTGCCTTTTTAAATTTGATCATAAGCAAATTTTATTTTTTCCCCAATCCATCTTTCAATGTGAAATTGCTGCTGAGCTTGTGGCCACAGCCAACCCTTCCCTGCAGCCCAGGGGATGCCCTCCCCACACAACTCTGCAAAACGCTGCCTAAGCACCTTTCTCTCCCTGTAAATGTTTGTTGTCTCGCAATGTGAAGTGACTTTGTAAAAATAGCACCTTCTTACTCGACAAATCTGCTCCCTGAGTGTCCTCAAGTCACATCTTCCCTCTCTGGCCAGAGCTGGTGTCTGCTCCTGTCAGCGGGGAACAGCCGGCGGCTGGGAAAGGGGAGCAAAAAGCTTTGCTTCAAAACCAGCAGCCAAGTTCTGACTGAAGAACCTCGTGCCAGTTTTGAAGGCAAAGAAGGGCCCCGTGGCTCTGACTTTTAAGTTGGTGTTGCTGAAAGACGCACAAAAAGGAAAAAAAAAAAAAAAAAGCAGGTCTTTGGTTGGTGATGTGGAAATTAAAATTTCTGAAATGTTCTTCCCGCAAATTGCGGCAGAGAGTTGGCAGCAGAATGATAAGTGGCTGCTGCAATGGTACAGAATGCTGGGAATTAAATCCCTCTCTTCACTCAGTTTTGATATACCTATATATAAAATATTGCCTACTTGTGCAAGTACCTTGCACTTTTTGTCCAACCTCTAATCAGTGGAGTTTAATCACTGATTGCTATTAAGAAAATATGAAATTATCCAAAACTATTTGCAGTCTGCTTTCCCCAATGCTGTCTCTATAAAGTTTGTGGTTTCATAAAGATTACAAAGTTTCTTTGCTCTTAAACTCTCACATGAAAATTCCACATCTTCGTTTGGGTGAAAGGCTTTAAATGCAAATTTCAGAATTTGGAAAGTGATTAGAACTGGGTGGTCACTATTTCCCAGTGAGATCATCTCTGTTTCTGGAGAAACCTTCTTTTCCAACCATACTTGCAAGGACTCTAATAGGAAAAAAGGCATTAAACTGCCATATTCTGGAGTTCTAAAATTTTGCTTTCCATGTTTGTGACACCCATAGCAGACCCCCAGGGAGATGGCAGATAGATTTTACATGGGATTTTTATAGGATACAAAAGACTTGCACAGTGTTTGTATTTATGTGATTCAATATGTAACTGGATAAAGAGGATCTCTTTGGAAAATATAAAGGGAGCTGATCATGTTTTAAGAGGGAGGAAATACAGGAGCTGAAGGAAGGGAAAGGATAGATCTGAGCACCAGAAGTGAAGTGTTTGCACAAAATTTTTAAGATAATGGTTTGGGTTTTTTTTAATTGGTATTTTCTCATTAGCCATAGTGTTTTGGAAGGCAGTTGTGAAAGAAAAGCTTCCTAACTCGTGATCGGAGTCGATCAGTGATTTAAGGAATCATAACCTCATTGTTAATGTCATCCTGTCCCGCCAGCCCTGGCATCCCATGAAGGGCTTCTGTTCAAGTCCTCATTATTTTCTCTCTCTTACAAACCATTCCCATTTCACTCATGATGACGGAAACATTTCTACAATGCTTTCTTTAAAACAAAAATAAAAATAAAATATATATTGAAAAAAAAAAAAAAAAAAAAAAAAGCCAACAGCAAAGCTACATGTCACTGCTGCTTGGAAGTGCTCTTGATTTCTAATGGCTGGTGGGGAAGGACTGCGTGGTTTCCAGAATGACTCCTCCTGCTGTCTCCTTTTTGTCTTTGTTTCAACGTGTTTCTCTGAACAGTCAGAAGGTCAGTTTGAAAGATCGTGTCTTCTCCAGTCCCCGCGGTGCTGGCACCAAAGGGAAAGGCTCTCCACAGGCTCAGGGCATCAGGAGATCCCCCAGTGCTGACCAGAGCATCGAGGACAGCCCGAGCAAAGTGCCCAAGAGCTGGAGCTTCGGGGACCGCAGCCGAGCCCGGCAGGCGTTCCGCATCAAGGGAGCGGCGTCGCGCCAGAACTCGGAAGGTGAGGCTTGGGTGCTGCACCCCAAATTCCCAGCTGGCACCAACATCCTCTCCCTCCCCACCTAAGAAGGGCAGAGCTGCCAGCCAAGGTGTTGAGACCCCTTCCCCTCCCAGATTTTTAGCCTGAGCAACCTGATCAAGTTGAAGGTGTCCCTGCCCATTGCAGAGAAGGGCCTTCAAAAGGTCCCTTCCAACCCAAACTTGTTGGTAATGATTAGAGGAGGCAAGAAAACCCCTTCTGATGGCCATCATAATGTTTATATTTCTCTGTCTAGGGATGGGGAATGGAGGAAGAGTCAGGCATTGGGACAAGAGGAAATTACCTCAAGGTGTGCTGGGGACAGTTAGGTTAGATATTAGGGAAAATTGCTTCACTGAAAAGGTGGGCAAGCCTTGGAACAGGCAGCACAGGGCAGTGGTGGAGTCACCTTCTTGGAGGAATTTAAAACACATCTAGATGTGGCACCTGGGGACATGGGTTAGTGGCTGAGCTTGGCTGTGCTGGGGGAATGGTTGGACTCGATGATCTTAAAGGACTTTTCCAGCCCAAATGATACTGGGATTCACTGATACAGGGATGTGTGAGACCTGCAGTTGGCACTGTTTAATGTCACCTAAGCACATCCCGGGAAATGCTCTCATCTGAGTGTTCAGCAAAGGCTTCTGTGCTGTTCCCCTGGGGTTGCTGTTCGTGATCTGCCTTTGTGTAGCACTGGCACAGGAAACAGTAACGTGTTGTGTTTGTCCTTCCCTGTCCCAAACCCAGAAGCAAGCCTCCCTGGAGAAGACATTCCTGATGAGAATAAAAGCTGCAACTGCGAGTTTGTGACAGAAGATTTGACACCAGGACTGAAAGTCAGCATCAGGGCAGTGTGGTAAGAGAGGGAGAGGGGGGGAAGGAGTCCAGAAAAATAAATTATAAAGAAAAATGAGAAGTATAAAGCCCAAGAAGTGCCTGCAAATGCTGACATGTGTGTGCTGCAGGCTGTTTTTCCCCTGGGTGGCCTGCCCTTCTTTACAGACAATTTTGCCAGGAAGGGCAATTTTTGCTTAGGGAAGGAATAAACGGAGAAACAGGAAAATCTCCCACAGGGATGCATCCAAATGACAGCTCTCACCAGCCCTGAGGTTTAATGCTGACATTTCTAAAAGTGGTGCAGAGAGCACATGCACAGATGACAGACCAAGGGGCATCAGGGACCCCCTGGTGCAGACAGGGCTTCAGCCACCAGCCCCCGCAATCCCCTTCCTCTCTCCTATTGCTGCATCCTCTCCCAAACCCACAGGGCTGGGATTTATTCCATTTTCCTTCCAAAAGCAGCTCCCTGCTGTGTTTTTTATCTGCCATTAAGCAGGTCAGGCTGCACCCAGGGACTGTGTTATGATTTTGCTCTCTGTCTCCTGCAGCATTATGAGGTTTCTCGTCTCCAAGCGCAAGTTTAAGGAGAGCCTTCGGCCCTACGACGTGATGGATGTCATCGAGCAGTACTCAGCTGGCCACCTGGACATGCTCTCCAGGATTAAAAACCTTCAGGCCAGGCAAGAGACCCCTCTTTTTGCTTCATTTTCCACTGCTTTTTGTTCACTGTGGAGGTATTGCCAGGAGAAAGACACTTCCCTTTGCAGCTACAGCTTATTCTTTTCCTTTTTAAGACAAATCCGCAAGGAAGACATCAGTGGTTATGGCTGGAACCACAGGAATAAGCAGGACAGGGACTGCCCTAAAACTCCCTCACTGCCCATCTCAGGACATACAAAAATCATGGCTCATCCTCCTGCTTTATTTTGGGAGCTTTTGGCATTGTGGTATATCCATAGGAAAGGTGGTTGGGTATCTCCATGATCCTCCTGGCAGGGTGCAAAGGTTTGGTGCCCCCAGTGTTAAAGCTCATGTGGGTCATTTGATGCCTTTATGGGAGTGAAATAAGACCAAATTTAGTGTCCTGGCTGTGGCCCTGCTGCCACAGACACAGAGAGCAGTGAGGAGGCAGCAGCTCCCTCCCACTGCTGGGATGCTAAGCCACTTCAGGAGGAATCCCTCCTTGGATGGCACAGTCTGCTGAAAATCCATGCAGATGGGAATTTCTCATCCAAGCTCACTGTAGGTGGGTTTAGCCGAGCTGCATTTCAGCTTCTGTGCTCAGATTTTAGGGCGAGATGTGTTCATTTCAATAGAAGGAATGTGGGAAAGGGACAAATGGAACCGAGAAGGTTCCATGTTTTCATGTCTCTCCTGGAAGAAAAAAAAAAAAACCCAAACACATAAGTTTGATTCCTTGAACAGATGATTGGAGTTTAATCTTTTAGTCTGACCTCTCCTTCCTCAGCCCTGACCCCAAGCCTCCAACACCCCCAGTTGTGTTGGCTCAGCAGAAGCAGCTCCAGTTCTGTGGAGCTTGAAGGACACCCAGAACTGTGGCTTGGCCATGGGCAATCTCCAGTCAGAAAAATACACCATTTGCTTTTACACTTGGAGAATGAAATTGCTTCCCTTGATGGCTGTGGCAGCCCAGTGTCCCCTAGAAGCCATTGAGGAAGTTTTCCTTTCATTTCAGACCCATCTAAGTCCCTGGTAGTCAGCAAATGTGAAGAAAAAATAAGTGTTTGTGTATGAAACCAGCTGACATGAACCACAGGAATAAAGTAGGAAAATTGTCTTGGGAAAAAGAGGAATCTCTGTTCTGCCATGAATCTCTCAGAGACCATTTTAACTCTGCTAATTTTGATGCTCAAGATGCAGGGGTAACTTTCTCAGCCCTGCTGCACACTGTGCTTTTCCCGGAAGGAACGTTCTCCCTTACAATGGAGACCAAAATACCCTGGAGAATTTCCTCTGTGTGAACCTCTCACTCCTGTTCAGTACAAATTCAGTGATCATAGATCCAAGATGTATAGCTGAATATAGAGGAGGAAGAGGAAGGGGATTGAGATTTCCTAACTTTAGTAACCTGAAACAAGAGGCCTCGAGGCCACTTCCGCAGTGGGTACCAGGCATCAGGGTTGTCATCTCTGCTGCTCCAGGTGGGATGTCTGAGTCTCCAGCACCCTAAGGGCTGTGGCAGAGTGCCTCACCACCCATCCAGGTGTCCCAGGTCTACAGGGGCATGTGCTGCAAAGACAAAGCAGTTTGGTTGTCTGCTTTTTTTTGGGAGGTTGGGGTCAGGAATTGCATCTTTCAAAGACCAAACTGGATTCTCCTCTTAGCTGGAGCTGTGGGACTGTGAGGACGAGGTTCTGGGGCTGGACAAGGCCACCACTCATCCTCTCACAGGGAAGCCAGGAGGATCAGGAGCTGCTTCAAAAGCATGGAGCACCTGGATTTGGGATCCAAGACTACCAGGCAGCTTCACTGGTTTCACTGTCCCCCCTGAGCAGCAGATCAGTGATGGTGATGGCAGCAGACCCCTTTGGGGGCACCCTTTGGGCACCTGCCCAGTACACCTGGAAGGGCCCCTGTAGGCAAGGCCATGGCCAGTGTTGGAGCCTGCACCCATACAGGTGGATCCCAGGGAGGAGCAGATATTTTAACATCCCTTTCCTTCAGTCACAGCGCCCTGTTGTGCCTGCCAGCCCAGCTCAGCAGGGCAGGCTCTGACCTCCCCTAGCCAGGGCTTTGGTGGATTAAAGCTGCATCCAAGCACATTTCTGGGGTGTTTACATGCACTTTCCTCTTTAATCAGTAAAGCCTCTGTCACTGTGTCTGCGATGTGCTCTTTTCAGTGTTGTGTTCACATTGTCTCGTGTTCCATCCTTGCCAACCATGGATGTCTCCCATTCATTGAGTTATCCACAGTCCTGCAGCGTTCCTCGCCGACTCCCAGCAGCTCATGCTTCCCTGAACTAGCTGAGGATGTGCTCTCTAGCACTGGAACTGAAAGGAGGATGAATATATGTTGTTTCATATCCAGCCACCTCAATGGGATATTGCCACACATGTGCAAATATATTCCAGAGGGTAAAGCATGGTGCCTGTTATATCTGGGGTGGGGGGAGCTCCTAATGATGTTGCAGTGGTGCCTAAATCTCCAAATCTTACCCTGAGGTGGGTAAGACTCTGGTTTTTTCACCAACAACCCGGTGGTAGGAGAGAGCCTTCTGTTTCCAGCAGAATATATTTTCAGATTCTCTCTCTTTCTCTCCCTGTCATTCTGTTTGTCAGTTGTTTCTTTCTGCGACTTTTCTCTGACCAACTTTTCTCTACGTGTTGCTTCATTATGCATTTTGCTGGTGTCTTTTTTCTTATTTACTTTGCCAGGATAGATATGATTGTGGGTCCCCCACCCCCTTCAACTCCCCGGCATAAGAAGTATCCAACCAAAGGACCCATGTATTCTTCCAAAGAGTCTCCCCAATACTCGCCTAGGTTAGGATTCACCAAAATGCCGCTTTCTCTGGAATTTTTTTTTTTTCATTTGCTTAATGTCAAACCCCTTTCATGCCAGTTATATGACGGCATTTCTCACTTTAGCAGTGCAGCCTGCTAAATCATGACTCACAAGGGTTTGCTGCTCTGGGTGTGCTCTGATTTGCCTTCAAGCCAGAGGGGAACAAAAAAGGGGATTTTCATTCAGTCATCAATAACCATCAGTTCCTTCAGTGAGCCTATTTCCTGTTTTCAGTCTTCTTCGAGGTGTTAGAAAACCAAATTATATCTTTTTAAAAGATCTCATATTTTATCAGGCTGTCTTCAAACATAAAAGGTGGAATATTTACCCACAAATCAAATATCAAGTGAACAATCCACTTCCTAAAGGGTGACACCGTTCACACACAAGCAAAGGAGCCTCTGCAGCTCTTTGGACAATGAAATGAGTTTATTTCAGTGGGCAAAGTAAGAATGAAGTGTTTTGTAGCTGATGAACGCAGTGGTCTCTGTTTCTTCCTGGTGCCACTCTACTGACCATGGAGGAAAAAATGGTATTAAAATACTACAACCACAGCACTCATATTCAGAAAAATAATAAATCAATCCTGATTTTCCAAGCAAAAGGAGAAGGAGTCAAACCCAGCTCTCAGTCACACAGTGAGATAGCTCTCATTAAGTTCTCTCCCTAAGTAAAACCGTATCTGATGCTCGTGCAATGAGGAATATATTATCACAAAAATTCCCATTTTAGGGCATTCTGAGGTCTGGGCAGCAGGGCCATGAGCTGGGCTGTATTTTTCCCCTTGCACTGAGACCACTAGAGCCCAGAGCAGGTATAAATATTTGCCAGAAAATCATTTCCCATGTAGAAATAGTAGATGATTTTTAAATGCAGTAAGCTGAGCCTCAAATATTTTTTTCCCTAAATATATTTGCTTCCCTAAGAGCTAATATGTGACAAATCTCTTGATTTTAATTTAAGCTGCTCTGAGTAATCTTCACTAGAGAAATACAAGTAAAAGGAATATTGAAAGCTTACCTTTTCCCACTCAGCTAGCTCAAATATTAAAAAAATAGAATTTTCTAGAAGCCTAAAGCTTTATACTTTAAAAAAACAAAGCTTTCAGAAAAGTAATTTTCCCATTCCTCCTCCCTGCCAAAAGAAGTCTTTGAGAATGAAATCACCTTGTTATTTGCAGAAACATTTATATTTAAAAATAAAAATACATATTCAAAGGGATTTTGTTGTATTTAATCTTTAAGATGATATGTCCAACAAGCCTTCAGTAAAAGCACGATTTTCATGTGAAAACTTGTGCCTCACACACAGCACAGGTGATTGATGGATCTGAGGGGAGGAGGCCTCAATCTGGGATATTTATTCTATTCAGTCCAAGACTGTTGCTGTATCAGCTTCATGCTAATGACTTTCCCCCCACTGTTTATACAGTTTCTAATACTGATTAAAAAAATCTTTGCAGATGTCCACAAAGCTCCTGGGATGTTTAAACCTTTTTACGTAATTTCTCCCTTTTCCAATGATTTTTTCCATGTCCCCCTTACCAAGCTGTGGGTGCAGAAAGCAGCAGGGCACAGCAGGCTGCTGAAATCTCCATTCCCACCCATGAAAAGGCTTATGCTGCACTTAATTTTTGGCAGTTTTATCCTCCCACAGGCACCAGCAGCACTTGTGAGGTGCTCAAGGGGCTGAAGGATGGGAACCAGAGCTCTGAGCAGCCCCGAGCCCAGATCCAAAACCCCTGGTCAGGCTCTGCTGCTGCCGTGATCTTTGTCACCCCAACACCACGTGGGTCTGTGCCATGGGGATGTCCCCATGGATGGCTCCAGCCTCTCCTTTTCAGTCTGCACCCCCTGTTTTAGCCAAATTCTGCCCAGACAAACATCATGAGAGGGATGTCCCATGAGCTATCTTGACCCTACGGATTGCTCAGTTCAGCCAAAATCTTTCTGCAAGCAGCTCCCAGCAAAGTCAGGGGGATCCTGGTAGATGCCCACAGCTGTGGTTTGGCTGATGGTGTTTGTCCCATGCTCTGCACACAGACAATTTGGAAAAAATTCCCTTGATCAGCTGATTTAGCCTAGAATAGGTGCAATCTCAGCTGTAATTTTTAGAGAACAGTTGTTGATCAAAATTTGTCCAGAGCAAATTTTATTGCCAAATGAAGGGATAAGTAGCCAGTCCTGTGACATGGATGAAGGGGGTTTGGCTTCAATGCCTGGATTGTTTACAAAAATTTATAACAGATAAAAAAAAAAAAAAAAAGAAAATACTTGATTATCTATTCCCAAACACTTCATTTTTATCTCATTTGAGCCGTTTGACCTTTTGATGTCTGCTTCTGGCCCGAGGGTGACATATTACACCTTTTTGCATGCACTGTTAGCATGAAGCATAATGAAGCATGAGAAAACCTGCACTGTGGCTGATGCAAGAATTTACATTTTTTTTGTATCATTAGAAAGAAGGAAAGACAGTAAAGTCCACTTTAAAGAGCAATCCCCTCTTCTCTCTCCCTCCCAAACTGAGGCCCAGCAGAGCCGACCAAGGACAGCAGATGGCACAGTTTGTCGTGCATCCTTAGAAATCTCTGAATCCTCTTCTGCCAGGAAAGGAAGAACATGGGGCTGGCTCTTCCAAAGCTTCAGTTGAATTCTTCCCTCTGCATGTGTGCATTTGGCACAGCAAAAATAAGAATTGAGAAGACACAAGCCTCCCCATGGGCTGCAGTATAAAAGTGGGATGGGCACCTCAGAAGATTCTTGGTCCTTTGTCATGCAGTAAGAACATAAATTATCCCCTTCTGCTTGCTAAAGTGGAATATATTCTTTCTTCTTCATCTTTTGAGCTTTGTTGCCCAGTTTGGACAAAACCTCAAAATCTTGTAATGGCTAAAAGGACCTCCTGCTCTTGGTGCAGGTGGGTTGGGAGCTCACAAGGAATTTCCTCTTTTCTCTTGTATCAGATAAGGCACAAATGAAATCTCTGTGCTTTGCTGAGGATAGGAGCACTCTCCTGTGGTCCAGCTTGTGCCATGGGAAGCAAAGGGGTGGGAGACCTTGAGACTGGTTTCTCCCATAAAGAGAGAAGGACTTGGTTCACCTTCTTCTCCCCTCCCTGCACTGAAGCCAGAGGCCCAGAGCTGCCCCCCTGCACCATCCTTGGTGCTGCCCTGCCTCTGAGGAGAGATCTGGCTCTGCTTCCCCAGGGCTGTGGAAGACAAGCACCCCAGGAGTCAGGACTGTGTTCAGGTACAGGCACAAAGGCAATGAATCAAGAGGGAATTCTGGGCTCTGGTGTCAATTATATAATGGGAAAAGGCTTTTGAATGCATTATGGGTGAGCTCTGTGAAGGGCTTCAGCCCTGCTCCTAAATCCCAGCAGTCTAAAGGCAAGTGGTGTCCTTGAAGGTGAGCAACAACTTAGTGCTCTTCTTAGTGATCACTCCATCTGTGAAGTGCCAGCTGGCCCCTGAAATGGGCCATGTGAGGTTCACTCACAGGAGAGCTCTTCTCTTCATGTATGAAAGACAGCAGAAGTCCTGCCTTGATTTCTGCAAGGTTAGAATTAGGGTCATTAAAATGCAGTGTTGGGTTCTCCTCTCTGTGTCACAGTCTGTCCTGCCTCCCTGCTCTACTCCTGCTGAGGGACATCTCATTTCCATTAGTGGACACATTTCAGTGTCAGTGTGGGTGCTGGATGGGACAGGAGGACAGAGCACCCTGATTGTTCTTGGCCTTCTGCAATATTCAATAACATTTAGACTTTGGGCCTCTTTAAACTCGTGTTCATTGTTTTAGCAGTCTACTTGCTTGTGCATCCAGGAGAGGAGTTCATACAGTGGCTGTACCACGCCTTGACTTGTGATTCCTCACCAAGGTAGCCCGAGGTATCCAATTTAACAGCTCCTTGCTTACATGGTAACGACATTGTCCTAGGATTTCTTGTGCTGTATGTCCTGTCAGTAATTGCATCCCTCGTGGGGAGTTCCTGTAAATGTCAGTGATTTCCTTCTCCCATTACAAGAGAGAAATAAGGCATGCATATTCCTCACACTTGTAATTCCAGCACTCGGTGCTCCTTGTACTCCTGTGCTTATATTGCTAAGCAAAGGATCAAACACGGCTTTTTAAGCAGAACAGAATTCTGTCACATCCCTGCCCAAATCAAGTAGCTTCTGGGATCAAAGCAAAACTCTGAAACAATTGTTGGCTTATATTTTCTGTCTTTGGTGTGATGTGCTCACCCACTTCATCTCTTTGAGCCAGATCTGGTGCTGTGAAGTGCTCTTGCTCTAATATAAGCTAAGGGAGCCACGCTGGTCCATTCCCACTGGTACCTGTCCCTCAGTGCCAACAGCCAACATCCCTATCAAGTCCTTGTCCAATGTGAAGCAAACAGATGCTCTTGTGTTGGAAATAGCCTCACGTCTCATTCTTTTCCTTGGTTTTTGTTTGTTCATTTTCCCCTGTCTGTCTGTGTTCAGCTCCTTCCTTTTCCTCCTCCTGGTGCATGGACCCATGGCCCACACGGCAGAACTGCGTAAGAAGCATTTTGAGTTTTCGCTCAAGATACCTCAACTTGGTTTCAGTCAGATTAATTAACCCTTCTTTCTCCCTGCCACCCTTATGTTTGGTGCATTATGCAAGAGTAAAGTTTGCCCAGCACAGAATTAGTCTATAAACCTGGCTGCCATTAAGAGTTATTCCAAAAATTATTTGTTCTCCAGACTTTGGAGGGATCAAGAAGCTCCAGTGTTTACTCTCCAGAAATTTATATTTGATGTCTCTAATAAAATTGAGTTCCAGTTACCAAACTGGTTCTGCCCTCCTCCTTCCTCTGCATATGGAGCTGTTAATCAACCCAGGTGTTTCTATACTGGGAATAAGGAAGTGCAAATGTGACGTGTGTAAAGAAGTCAGTATCAAATTATATGCCTAGTAACCTTTCCTGGCTGATTTGGCAGGAGCCTCTTCTGCTGCTCCCAGCTGGGAGCCCTGCTAATAAAAAACATTTAACAGTACAAGTGAGAACTGCACTGAGATGAAAACAGTTTGGTAATGTTTGGTGAGTTCTGGCCAAATTCAGCCTTGATATAATTCCACTAAAACAGTTATCACTGTACCTGTTTGTCTGCATCTTAGGACAAGCAGCTCATGTTCATGGACATGAGAACTACACATGGACATTTGCATTGAGGAGAGAAAACTGCTATAAAGACTGAAAAAGATCCCATTGATATTTGCTAGACAGAAAACTTGATCTTCCCACAAAATAATAATTTCTCAATGCAAATAAGAAGTTAATCGATTTGGAAGGAAGCCAGTTAAAGAAATTCTCTGCAGTGGGTAAATTTACTGTGCATAATGTGCCAGGTTTTACCTGTATAAACAGAAATGGGTAATTTCAAACTCTGCTAATACCGCTCTGAATTTTGCATCTGAATTAACACTTCAGTGCCACTGCGTGTCTGTGAGTAATTTGGAGTGTTAGTTGGGAGAGAGGCTGTTGCTTTGTCCCATGGAGGCACAACAAGCTGTGCCCTCCTCACCTGCTGCCTCCAACTGACTCCAGGTCCTTTTCCGGGGGTGGGGGGATTTTCTGATCCTGGTAGAGTTGACCAGATCGTTGGGAGAGGATCCTCCATGACTGACAAGGATCGGACCAAGGGGCCAGCAGAAGGGGAGCTGCCTGAAGACCCCAGCATGATGGGCAGGCTTGGAAAAGTTGAAAAACAGGTATCTTGGGTCAGGAAGGGGTTCTTGTCAGAGGGTGTTGCATGCATTGTGTTGTTTTTCCTTGGCTTTTTCCCTCAGTAGGACGTTTCCTTTTAGTTAAAAAAAAAACAAAAAACAAACTGAGAGCCCAGAATGCTTCAAAAAATAAGCAAGGTAGATGTTTTGAAACGTCACTAAATGCCTTGAAAGCCTAAGTGCTACTTTCAAACCAGGCACTCTGAGTCTAGTTTAGTGAGTTTGTCAAAAGCCTGCATTGTTTTTGAAAACAGCACATTGGTTTCTTTGCCACCATGCTGGACACATTTCAAATGAGTCCCTGAGCCTGGCTGCTGGAACTGCTGGCCTTGCTGAAGATTTAAAATCTTCCTAGAGTGTAAGGCTCAGAAATCCCCATGGCCTTCTGAGCCCAGACAAGTGCAAAGTGCAGGAAGGAGCTGGAAGAAGCAAGTGTGCTCCAGCTTTTTTAGGACTTGGTGCCTGTCATAAAGATTAGAGAAGCATAAGAAAAATCCTGTAACAAGGGAAACCCTGTAAAAAGGTGGAGAATTAAACCCCTCAGAACAGGACAATTAAATATTCACTGAAAGTTTGAGATGCTGTGGGTCAGTGTAGGCAGAGGTGATGTACCAAGCCCAGCCCCACACTTGTGCCTCGATAGAAGCTGCTCCTGCTCGGGGTGTTAATGTGCATGTCTTGCTGGAACCGTGGTGTTTTTGCAGGTTCAGTCCATGGAGAAGAAGCTGGACTTCCTGGTGAACATTTACATGCAGCGGATGGGCATCCCCCCAACGGAGACAGAGGCTTACTTTGGGTCCAAAGAGCCAGACCCAGCCCCTCCCTACCACAGCCCCGAAGACAGCAGGGAGCACATCGACAAGAACGGCTGCATCATCAAGATCATCAGGTCCACCAGCTCCATGGGCCAGAAGAACTTCTCCGCCCCGCCAGCCCCGAGCAACGCGTGCCCACCCTCCACGTCGTGCCAGCGGCAGAGCCACGGCTCGTCTCCCATCGGGGAGCCCGGCTCGCTGGTCCGCATCCCGCCGCCGCCCTCCCACGAGCGCTCCCTGTCCGCCTACAGCGGCGGGCACCGGGCGAGCGCCGAGTACCTGCGCAACGAAGACATTACAGCCAAACACCACGAGAGCGCCCTGAGAGACAGCGACACGTCCATCTCCATCCCCTCGGTGGACCACGAGGAACTGGAGCGCTCTTTCAGCGGCTTTAGCATCTCCCAGTCCAAAGAGAACTTGGACATCCTTAACAACGGTTGCTATGCAGCCGTGGCCAAAATCAGACCCTACATTGCAGAAGGGGAGTCAGACACCGACTCTGACCTCTGCACGCCCTGCGGTCCCCCCCCGAGGTCGGCCACGGGCGAGGGACCCTTCAGTGACATGGGCTGGTCAACCCCCCGGCAGTGAAGCCTCCCTGCAGCCTCCGAGCCACGTCCAGGCGCTGGCAGCTGCCCTCTCCTGCTGTCCACGTGTGGAACTTCTCAAGGAGGTTGACAGCTAAGGCTTTCCTCTTTCTAGGACACCCTTAGCTGGCAGATACTTTCTTGCAGCTTACTCTGGGGGGGAACGAGCAGGTCTGAGCCTGCATTTGTGGAAGAGGTCACGGTGATGAGTGAACTGGAGCCGTGAAGTCCAGATTTCTTTCATACTCTCTTTCTAAGATCATTAGGTGAAACTTCCATGGCGCAGAGTAGGCAATTTGCATTTCTTGGGAATCTTCAGAAGGGCAGGGCAGGAATAAATCACCCAGCCAGGGCTTTTGTAGATCACATTAACTGGTGGCTGACAAGTGTTAAGTGGGAATTGCTATGTCATGGCAGGAGTTGATCACACCTTTAGGTGTTTTGGAGTCACAGACAGAATACGTGTCTGTTTCTGGCTTGGGTTTCAGGGCAAGTGTAATAATGAGGGGTTGTTACTCTGTGGTCCTCATTAGCTGTCAGGAAGGTGACATAATTCCAATATAATACATGGAAAAGTTGTGTAGGCCCCTGGAGGAGAGGGATAGTGGCTAGGGTATTTACATGAGCAGAAGACGTGGCCTTAAGGGGGTCTTGCTGGGGTACTGCTCTGAACCAGAGCAGTTTGGAAATGATCCCATCTTAGGAAAAACTCAGAAATATCAGCTTGAGTGCAAGAAGAGGGACAATCCAGACGACAGAGAAATGAAACAGAGGAGGAGGATGAGACACTGTGGGGATGGAATTTTATGTTTTAAACCATGTATTATATTTAATTATCTCTCCTTCTGCTAACGAGGGACCTGGGGGTACTTTGAAAACAAAGATGAAGCAAAGGCAACCCCTCTGGAGGGTTGCCATGATCCCAAGCCATTCTCGTGGCCCACAGAGCTGTTGGGGAGGCACAGCCACCAGGCAAAGGGAGAGGGTGGATGTGCAGGATGCTGTGGTCCCTGCCTTGCTGCGAGTTATGTGCTGAGCTCCATCCTCTGGAAGCCCTGTTGGTCAGAGTGGGCACTTTTCTTACAGTTTGCATTGTGCCTGAACACTTTTGCACAAACTATGCCCATGAAAATCTTTCCTTTCTTCTTCTGCCCTGCCAAGAATCTCACCCCCACGTTCTGGGACATCCTTTGGTTTGTTTGAATCCCTCAAGCTCAGTTAAGAGGCACTGCTTCATTTCCTTCATGGTCTTTCAGAAGCCTCTTGCCCATGCTTGCCCACGAGTTGTGCCAATCCCAGTCTGCCCCATTTCGTTGTTGTGGAAGCACTTCCACTTGGAAAGGTCGTTGTGTCATTGCAAGGAACCTCAGCAGCTCCTTCAGCTGGGGGAAAGTGAAAAGTGATGCTCAAAGTTTCTTTTGGGACCAAAACAAAGCCACAAAGTGATCCTTCACGTGGAAAAGTTGGTAGGGGTTTTTATTTGCAAGGGGGTGGATCAGGAGAAGTTGGGTTTGGGATCTGTTTCCAGGGCTGGGACACCATGGCTGGCATTGTCCCTCTGAACCTTGCTGTGCATCCACAGCCCAAATCCCACGTGTGTTTTCTGCTGTGATTTCAAACCCTGTCTTTCCACATTTTCCCTGTGTCATATCAGGAGCCTGTTAAGGATTTTTAGGTGACAGCTTCATTTCTGTGTGGCCTTTGAGAGGCTGAACATTGATTCACTTGGGGTGAAGGGAGACTCACAGCCTTTTTCTCTCCTCCTGTTTGCTTGACCAGACACAGCAACCAGAGGAGACCCAGGATAATTTTGGCCTTAGGGAAGATGTGGGTGCAGTCTGACAACTTGCAGACAGGAAATAAAACCATTCTTTTGCTAGTGCCCAGGGCCAGCACACAGGTTTTATCATGGAATGAGGAAGGGGCAAGAATCCTCACAACTTTTCCTGCCATTTTTCACCATTCAGGAGGGGAAAACCTTGTTCTTAGGGACAAACTGGACTTCCAGCCATGCTAGTTCCTTTCTTTCCCCTCTTGAGCCGTGTTTTTGTTAACTTCTGCAGTTTTCCCCTCTCTGTGCTCCAAAACTCCTTCTGGCTCCAGATTTCTTTGTGCAGAGTTAACACAGCGATGCCCTTGACTTCCACACAGAGACAACTTTAAATGCTAAATGGCTGTAAATCGTACAGATTTGCCTCTGATGTGTTCCAAAATGAGATCCTTTCTGCTAGAACAAGAAGTGTCAGCAGGTCCTAAATCAAATGTGGTGGCCTGGGCTTTCTACCGACCACAAGAATGGAAATTGCATTTGGTGAGGCAAAAATCAACATTGCTCCAGCCAGCTGCTCTCTGCAAATTTTGTCCAAGTCAGAGATAACAAAGATTTATTCTCTTATTTGTTTGCAATTACTTTTCAAGGCCTGCTGGAAATTTGGCACAGAGGGTATGATATAGAGGCAGGAATGCCAGATGAGGATGAGGATAAGGATGATGTCATGCAGTCCTATTGCAGCACAGGTACATGACTGGTCTTTAGTCACAGAATCACAGAATCACTGATTCACAGAACCACTGAATGGTTTGGATGGAAAGGGACCTTAAAGCTCATCTTCAGGGGTTGCATAAGAAAAATGGAGTTTTTCCTCTTCAACTTCCTGCGCTGAAATCTATAAAGATCTTTTGACTTGTATCTTGAAAAGTTGTTGGATTTATCCCCTTAATCAGTGATTGCAGAAAACTGGTTTTGTACACATTTCACATAGAATTCACATAGAATTTTTTTTAAGGTATGAGATGTATTTTTCTGTGGCATCATACCAAAGAAATTCTGACTCACCTCCATGCACAACCATGCCATAAATCATCACTTCTCATTCATCCAGGCAAAACCCCCTGGATTTTGGGGTTAGCTTACACTAGAATTAGCTACAAATAATGCTCATCATTTCCATGAAATTACTTAAGCCTGCATTAACAATGACAGGTCCTGCTTGTTGATAATTGACATAAATTATTTTATTCTTCTCCTAAATCATAATCCAATGCTCTCTGAAAAATCTTCCCTTCTAATCACTCAGCTCCCCCATGTCTGTAAACACATTCCTGGTGGCAATCTCCCACAGGTCTTAACCACCAGACTACAAGAAAATAAATCAGTTTTGAGTTGCTGACAAGGCAGTCCTGATGACAAAGACCTTTAAAAGGGTGGACAGGCAAACTTTGTCCCTCTGCTGAGCGTCTCTTGGGCTACTCTTTGATCTCCTCTTCCTCCCAAATCTTATTTCATTTTTTTTGGAGGACAGAAACAAGTTCTAGGCAATGTCAAGTGTGGACAGAGGAGTCCAAAAAGAGATGAAAGCCAAATTTCCAGCAGACCATCTTGACCTGCTCCAGGGCTGCCCATGCCCCTGCTCGGTTCTGGGCCCAGAGCCTGGTTCCAGGTGTGTCTGTGCTGAGTGTGAAGCCATGACCTTGGACCACAACCTGAGCTCTGGTCTCCAAGAAACTTCTGGGCTTTTTTCCCTCATAATCTAAGTCTAGGTCTGGAAAGAAATCCTGCAATTGGCCCACCCATGGGATGGAGCAATGTCTGAGGCTGGCACATGAAGCCACAGTAAATTTTTGGGTCCTTCAGGGTGAGTTCAGGTGGTCTGAGGAGTTCTCAGAACAGATGTGGATGGAGATGTTGCAAGATTGCCTTTCAGAATGTGACCCCGAGACAGAGGAACAGCCATAAGTCAAATTTCCCAATATTTGGGAAGGGACTTTAATGTTACTCAAGTGCAGATTTTGTATGTGAATTTCCTTGTTGACCCGTTTTCTTAATAACAATTTTTAAAGCAAAAAATGTCAGTGAGCTTACCAAAACCAAACCTCTCATCCAGCTCAGAAAGCCATTCTATTTCTTTAGACAGACTATGTGATAGATCAGATTTTCTAAAAATGCATTTTGTTTCAAATGCTGCTTAACAGGTTCAAATAAATTTTGCAGGGTCATTGCTATTTATGGATAAATAGGTATATTTTTACATTTTTAATTGATTTTTAAAATTTTAAATTATGTGAATTTTTAGAAAAAGTTTGTATAATCTACCTGAGAAGCCAGAGCATCACCTCAGATTCAAATGCTCCCCTTCCAGATAATTGCCCAAGAGAAAAGAACACTCATACTTTTCCCAAGAGGGAGCTACTGGGAACCTCATTTTCCTGATATCCTCAGACCACCATGGTCACAGCAACATTACTGCTAAGACTAAAATGTAAGAGAAACTGTTAAAAGAAAAACTGGAATTCCTAAGGAATTTACCAAAAGTTGTCCCATACAAAGACCCTTAGCAGTGAGTATTTTATTGGGAATGTTAAAAAGCCCAGGAGCAGGATAAGGATTTCTGTTTCTCCATCAGGCTGAGTGAGCCCTGAGCTTCCAACCTTTTCTTCCCAACCCACAGCTGCACGTCCACATCCTCTCCATCCGCCACGGGTCAGCATCTTCTGTTCTCATCTTCCTTTTCCTGAGCCAGAAACAAGGAAATCAGATACAAAAGCTCCTTCAGCTGCAGGTAGCATCGAGGAGAAGGCTGTGGGGAGGGCTGAGGGCAGCAGCCCCTCCGAGCCCTGCGGGGTCACTGCTGCTCAGAGGTGTAAAAGCAAACCCTTGCTTTTAGCACACAGACACCCCGACTTTTCTGCCTCACGGAGCAAAACCTGCTCAGAGCAGGGGTGTGGGTTCACTGGTTTTTTTTAACAACAACAATAGGGTGGGTTTTTAATAATAAGGATAATAATACTGCATAGGAATCTTCTTTAGTATATCTTAGTGTTTGATGCCCCAGTGACACAATACTGCTTGCCTTACCTTAGTGTCTAGAGGGAGAGGGATCACACACCTTTTGATACACTATTAATCATGCTTTGAATTTAGGTAGCAGCCAGGTCCTTTTTAACTTATGAATGTGCTTTCTGGACTATCTCACTGACTGTACTCTCAATTTTGCCTGCTACTGC